TTGGGATCGAGCCCCACATCGGGCTCTCTGCTTGGCGGGGAGCCTGCTTCCCCCTCTCTCTCTGCCTGCCTCTCTGCCTACTTGTGATCTCTCTCTCTCTCTCTCTGTCAAATAAATAAATAAAATCTTTTTTTAAAATGGAGGCTCTTACTGCTAGGATAAAAAAGGCAGAAGAGAGAATTAGTGACATAGAAGAACAAATGATGAATAAAGAAGCTGAGCAAAAGAGAGACAAACAACTACTGCACCACGAGGGGAGAATTCGAGACGTAAGTGATACCATAAGATGAAACAATATTAGAATAATTGGGATTCCAGAAGAAGAAGAAAGAGAGAGGGGAGCAGAAGGTATATTAGAGCGAATTATTGTAGAGAATTTCCCTAATATGGCAAAGGGAACAAGTATCATAATCCAGGAGGTGCATAGAACCCCCCTAAAAATCAATAAGAATAGGTCCACACCCCGTCATCTAATAGTAAAATGTACAAGTCTTAGTGACATAGAGAAAATCCTGAAAGCAGCCCAGGACAAGAAGTTTGTAACAAACAACGGTAAAAATATTAGATTGGCAGCAGACTTATCCACAGAGACCTGGCAGGCCAGAAAAAAATGACATGATACATTCAGAGCACTAAATGAGAAAAACATGCAGCCAACAATACTATATCCCGCTAGGCTATCACTGAAAATAGAAGGAGAGATAAAATGCTTCCGGGAGGGCGGTGGGGGAGCTTCCAGGACAAATGAAAACTCAAAGAATTTGTAAACACCAAACCAGCTCTACAGGAAATATTGAAAGGAGTCCTCTAATCAAAAAGAGCACATAAAAGTAGTAGACCGAAAGGAACGAAGACAATATAGTCCAACAGTCACCTTACAGGCAATACGATGGCATTAAATTCATATCTTTCAATAGTTACCCTGAATGTAAATGGGCTTAAATGCCCCAATCAAAAGACAGGGTATCAGAATGGATTAAAAAAACAAAACCCATCAATATGTTGACTACAAGAAACTCATTTTAGACCCGAAGACACCTCCAGATTTAAAGTGAGGGGGTGGAAAACAATTTATCATGCTAATGGACATCAAAAGAAAGCTGGGGTGGCAATCCTTCTACCAGATCAATTAGATTTTTAGCCAAAGACTATAATAAGAGATGAGGAAGGACACTATATCATACTCAAAGCGTTTGTCCAACAAAAGAATCTAACCATTTTAAATATCTATGCCCCTAACATGGGAGCAGCCAACTATATAACCAATTAGTAACAAAATCAAAGAAACACATCAACAAAATACAATAATAGTAGAAGACTTTAACACCCCCCTCACTGAAATGGACAGATCATCTCAGCAAAAGATCAACAAGGAAATAAAGGCCTTAAATGACACACTCGACGAAATGGACATCACAGATATATTCAGAACATTGCATCCCAAAGCAACAATACACATTCTTCTCTAGTGCACATGGAACATTCTCCAGAATAGATCACATCCTGGGTCACAAATCAGGTCTCAACCGGTACCAAAAGATTGGGATCATTCCCTGCATATTTTCAGACCACAATGCTCTGAAGCTAGAACTCAATCACAAGAGGAAATTTGGAAAGAACCCAAATACATGGAGACTAACCAGCATCCTTCTAAACAATGAATGGGTCAACCAAGAAATTAAAGAAGAATTGAAAAAATTCATGGAAACAAATGATAATGAAAACACAATGGTTCAAAATCTGTGGGACAGGGGCGCCTGGGTAGCTCAGTGAGTTAAGCCTCTGCCTTCGGCTCAGGTCATGGTCTCAGGGTCCTGGGATCAAGCCCCGCATCGGGCTCTCTGCTTGGCGGGGAGCCTGCTTCTCCCTCTCTCTCTGCCTGCCTCTCTGCCTCCTTGTGGTCTCTCTCTCTGTCAAATAAATGAATAAAATTTAAAAAAAAAATCTGTGGGACATAGCAAAGTCAGTCCTGAGAGAAAATATATAGCGATACAAGCCTTTCTAAAGAAATAAGAAAGGTCTCAAATACACAACCTAACCCTTCACCTAAAGGAGCCGGAAAAAGAACAACAAAGAAAGCCTAAACCCAGCAGGAGAAGAGAAATAATAATGATCAAAGCAGAAATCAATGAAATAGAAACCCCCCCCAAAAAAAATAAAAATAAAAAAAACCCAATAGAACAAATCAAAGAAACTAAGAGCTGGTTCTTTGAAAGAATTAATAAGATCGATAAACCCCTGGCCAGACTTATCAAAAAGAAAAGACAAAGGACCCAAATAAATAAAATCATGAATGAAAGAGGAGAGATCACAGCCAACACCAAAGGAATACAAACAATTATAAGAATATATTATGAGCAACTATACGTCAGCAAATTTGACAATCTGGAAGAAATGGATGCATTCCTAGAGATGTATAAACTACCACACCTCAACCAGGAAGAAATAGAAAACTTGAACAGACCCATAGCCAGTAAGGATATTTAAGCAGTCATCAAAAGTCTCTAAACAAACAAGAGCCCAGGGCCAGATGGCATCCCCGGGGAATTCTACCAAACATTTAAAGAAGAATTAATTCCTGTTCTCCTGAAACTGTTACAAAAAATAGAAATAAAATCGATACTCAGAAAACTATAAAGTACTCATTAAAGAAATTGAGGAAGACACAAACAAATGGAAAAATGTTCCATGCTCCTGGATTGGAAGAACAAATATTGTGAAAATGTCTATGCTACCTAAAGCAATCTACACATTTAATGCAATTCCTATCAAAATACCATCCATTTTTTTCAAAGAAATGGAACAAATAAACGTAAAATTTATATGGAACCAGAAAAGACCTCAAATAGCCAGAGGAATGTTGAAAAAGAAAGACAAAGTTGGTAGCATCACAATTCCAGACTTCAAGCTCTATTACAAAGCTGTCATCATCAAGACAGTATGGTACCGGCACAAAAACAGACACACAGATCAATGGAACAGAATAGAGAGCCCCCAGAAATAAACCCTCAACTCTATGGTCAACTAATCTTCAACAAAGCAGCAAAGAACATCCAATGGAAAAAAGACAGCCTCTTCAACAAATGGTGTTCAGAAAATTGGACAGCCACATGAAGAAGAATGAAACTGGACCACTTCCTTACACCATACATGAAAATAGACTCAAAATGGATGAAAGACCTCAATGTAAGAAAGGAATCCATCAAAATCCTTGAGAACATAGGCAGCACAGGCAGCAACCTCTTTGACCTCAGCTGCAGCAACTTCTTCCTAGGAACATCGCCAAAGGCAAGGGAAGCAAGGGCAAAAATGAACTATTGGGACTTCATCAAGATCAAAAGATTTTGCACAGCAAAGGAAACAGTTAACAAAACCAAAAGACAACTGACAGAATGGGAGAAAATATTTGCAAACGACATATCAGATAAAGGGCTAGTGTCCAAAATCTATAAAAAACTTATCAAACTCAACACCCAAAGAACAAATAACCCAATCAAGAAACGGGGAGAGGACATGAACAGACATTTCTGCAAAGAAGACATCCAGATGGCCAACAGACACATGAGAAAGTGCTCCACCTCGCTCAGCATCAGGGAAATACAGATCAAAACCACAGTGAGATCCCACCTCACACCAGTCAGAATGGCTAAAATTGACAAGTCAGGAAATGACAGATGCTGGCGAGGATGTGGAGAAAGGGGAACCCTCCTGCACTGTTGGTGGGAATGTAAGCTGGTGCAACCACTCTGGAAAACAGCATGGAGGTTCTTCAAAAAGTTGAAAATAGAACTACCCTATAACCCAGCAATCGCACTACTAGGTATTTACCCCAAAGATACAAACGCAGTGATCCGAAAGGGCACGTGCACCCGAATGTTTATAGCAGCAATGTCCACAATAGCCCAACTATGGAAAGAGCCTAGATGTCCATCAACAGACGAATGGATAAAGAAGATGTGGTATATATACACAATGGAATACTATGCAGCCATCAAAAGAAATGAAATCTTGCCATTTGCAACGACGTGGATGGAACTAGAGAGTATCATGCTTAGCGAAATAAGTCAATCGGAGAAAGACAACTATCATATGATCTCCCTGATATGAGGAAGTGGAGATGCAACTTGGGGGGTTTGGGGGTAGGGAAGGAATAAATGAAACAAGATGGGATCGGGAGGGAGACAAACCGTAAGAGACTCTTAATCTCACAAAACAAACTGAGGGTTGCCGGCAGGAGGGGGGCAAGGAGAGGGGGGTGGGGTTATGGACACTGGGGAGGGCATGTGCTGTGGTGAGTGCTGTGAAGTGTGTAAACCTGGCGATTCACAGACCTGTAGCCCTGGGGCTAATAATACATTATATGTTAATAAAAAATTTAAAAAACAACAACAAAACAAAGGTGCTTCGAGCCACAAAAAGACACGGGAGAACCTTACATGCACAACACTAACTGAAAGAAGCCCGTCTGAAGAGGCCACAGACTGTACGAACCCAACTGGATGACATTCTGGAAAAGGCAGAGGTACAGGGAGGTGTGGGGAAGGGGTGACCAGGTGCAGCACGAGGCATTTTTAGGGCAGTGAGACTATTCTGTAGGGTACCATAATGGGGGACACACGTCCATTTATCCAGACCCACGGAGTGGAGTGTACGACACCAAGCATGAACCGTAACACGAACTGTGGACTTCGGTTAATAATGCTGCGTCAGTATCGGCTCATCGGTTATAACCAACGTCCACAGCAAGACGGTAATAGCAGGGGAAACTGTGCGTGTCAGGGGCAGGGAAGTAGAAATATGTGAACCCCGTATATTCTGCGCAATTTTCCTGTAAACGTACAGATACACCGAAAGCGTCTATTAATTTAAAAAAACAAACACGAATGTCATCTTTTCACGGGAGCAGCTTTCAATAATGTCCATAAAATCCCCACATCCATGATCTTATTTTATCCGCACCGCAGCCACGCACAAGGAACTCCGCTTTTTTTGGCTGTCCCTGTCCTCTGATGGAACAGAGACTCCAAATCTTCTCACTGGGACCTTCAGCTCCAAATCCAGTGCTTTCCCCCGAAATCCGAATCTGATGACTCACAAACTGTAACACGGTGTTTATGGGGCAATTCGTGTCTCACGCTCTCTGATCCTAAAATGCTCAGGGTGTGGGGTGAGGGTGGAAGAAACGGACAGTGCGAGTCTTCGGTCGGACGTTGTTAAGGCGCGAGGGGACAGGGACGCTGACTGCGGGAACACGGAGGCGTTTCTACCCGCAGACGCACGTGGGTTTGAATTCTGGTCCTGAACCCCGATCCCCAAGAGCCTGCGCGAGACGATCACACCCCAGCGAAGCACGGGGATCCTTCAGGACGGCGACAGGGAACCCGGTGGGCGCAGCGGCGGCGGCGTGGCCCGCGCCCGGGGAAGGCCGGCTCCCGGGGTCGGTTCCTACCCACGGTGTCGGATGCCCCGAATCCCTCGGGCTCCCGCGGCCCGTCCGCTCCCTGTGCCCAACATCAACGCAACATCCTAGCGGCGTGTCGGGCCCCTGCCCCGCCCCAGCCCGGGTCGGACGGAGCAGGCGCTCCCGCGCCCCAGCGGACGTACCGCACAGCCGGATGAGATGCCTCATGTCCCGCCACACGAGCAGGTGCTTTAAAACCGCGTCCAGGTCGTCCGTGGCGTCGCCGTCGCGCCGCGGCCAGGACTTGGTGATCACGGCCGACAGCAGAGTGCAGAACTTCCACAGGTCGTGCCTGGAGATCTTCTCGAGGACGCTGGTCTGAGACTGCGGGACGAACGGACACGGCGGAGGGTGACGGGTCTGCTCTGGGCTGACGGGACAGCTGTCACCCCGCCACCCGCCGGAAGCCTTCGGCAGAGCAGGAATTTGTTCACGCGGCCCGCCACCTCCGGGAAGACAGGGAAGGAGGCGTCCCCGCTCGGACGCCACCCGCGCCCCCGGGCTGGAAGCCCTCGCGGAGGCAGGAACCGGGGGACCGCGTCCCCCTGACGGAAGGCTGCCAGGGGAAGCCGCCGCGAGCTAAGCACGCGCTCGCCGTGACGGACGGCGGCGTCCTCCCGAGCCGAGGAGCCAGGGGAGGACGCCCGCGCCGCGGCTGCGCATCAGCCCGACGAGCGCGAGCAAGATGCAGGGCAGCGGGGTCCGGAGGGAAGGAGCGCAGCTACCTCATCGGCCCCGACGGGGTCTTGTGGCGGGAAAAAGCCCCGAGCGCTAGTGCGTGCACGCGCGCGCGCACACACACACACACGCACGCACACGCGCGCGCACACACACACACGCACGCGCGCGCGCGCACACACACGCACGCACACGCGCGCGCACACACACACGCACACACACACACACAGGCACGCGCGCACACACACACGCACAGGCACACACGCACGCACGCGCGCGCGCGCACACACACACACAGGCACGCGCGCGCGCGCACGCACACACACACACACACACACACACACACACACACACACACACGCAGGCGCATGCGCACACACGGACAGGCGGAGGCTGTTCCTAGGAGGCCCCGCAGGGCGGAACCTCTTCTCGCCTCGCAGACGAGACGGTGGGTGAGTTGACAGAATCTTTTCAGCTTCGTCCGCTTTTCCTCCGTAAACGCGCGGTGGGCCGGCGGCGGGTTCCCCCGCACGCCGCTGGCGCTCACACAGGCCGGCGGCAGTGACCGGCGCACACGCCCGGGGGGCGCGCGGGGTGGCGCCCCCAAGCTCCCCCGCGGGCGGCGGGACGCTGCGCGGCGTCTCGGGGGGCCGCGCCCCAGGCCGGGAGGCGGGTGCCCGGGGCTCGGCGTGTGGGAAGCCGCGCGCGGTCACGGTCGCCGAGCCGGCGGGGCTGCTCACCTGGCAGGCCGAGCTCACGGCCTCGAGGACGCACTTCTCGAAGCATCGGGACACGCGGTCTTCCCGCTCCGTGGCGTCCCAGTGGGGGCTGCAGAAGGCGGAGATCTGCTCCAGCGGCTTCTCCTGCAACCACAGCGAGCGCGTCGGGGCCGCCCTCGAGCCTGGGGGACCGGGGCGCTCTTCTCCGCTCTCCGCGCCCGGCGGCGCGTGCCCGGGAGTCCGCCCCGCCCCGCACGCCCGCGCCGCTCGGACGTCGGCGGCCGCCACAGCGGGACCCGCCCCAGCCCCGCCCACACTGCGGAGCGCGCGGAACAGCTAGGGCCGGGAACAAGCGACCTCGCCCTGGTTTCTACTTCCCCAAAAGCGTCGTTTCAGCCGTGTGTCATGGCGAAACACACCCTCACTGCCCCAGAGCCACAAGCTTTAACTAGAACGAAGCACTTCTGTTTCCCGGTTTGTCACCGGGCTTAGGAAGGCTTCGGTCACCGACAGGCCACTTGGAGCTACTGCGTATGGGGGCGCTTTACGCCCCATACCTGTGCGGTTTCCCGGTGCTACGAACCCATCCCCTTCTTCGCGGGGAAGTCATCTTCGCTCAAACTAGTAAGGCGGGATCAAAAAGCAAGGTCCTCCTGGCCCGTGCCCTGCGCCCCCCAGGCCCACCCGTTCACAAGCCACGTGTTATCCGTAGGTTGTTGTGAACCGCCTGGCTTCCTCAACGCGCCCCATGCAAGGAACAACCCGACTTCGGGTACCTGTTTGATTCTCCCTTCCAAGTCCCCCATCAAGGACTCCTTCCAGTCGTACTGCACGGGGAGGTTGATCTCCACCAGCCGCCTCCAGACCTGCAAAGCACACGTGTCAGCGACAACCACCGCCACAGCTCAGTACCGTGGCGACTTCTACGAAAAAGGACTTTTATCACAATTCCAGGAGCAGTGGCCACCTGGGACTGGACCCTGTCCTTGTCCCTGGTGAGCCGTGTCAGTGGCAAGTCAGAGCCACCCTAGACTTTTAATAGTTGTTTTTGTTTTTTTCCAAAGATTTTGTTTATTTATTTGTCAGAGAGAGGGAGAGAGAGAGCGAGCACAGGCAGACAGAGCGGCAGCAGAGGCAGAGGGAGAAGCAGGCTCCCCGCCGAGCAAGGAGCCCGACACGGGACTCCATCCCAGGACGCCGGGATCATGACCCGAGCCGAAGGCAGCCGCTCAACCAACTGAGCCACCCAGGCGTCCCCACCCTAGACTTTTTACAGGAAGGCCCTGACAGCATCAGACCACCAGGATGGTCCTTCCACAGTGTAACTGGTTTTTATTCTGAAAGTATTTCTCTCGCTTGCCTTATTTCAAAAACCTTCAGACATACAAAAAAAAAGTCGCAAGAATGGCCCAATGACACCCATATTTCTTCAACTGGATTCCCAGGTGTTAATATTCAACAGCTGCTTTCTGTCTTCCATGCTCTCTCTATAAGAACTTTCTCTGCAGAACCCCTGGAAGAGAAGTCACAGGTACCACGCCATGTGGCCCTGAAATACTTGGGCAGGAATCTCCAAACACGGTGGCCCTTCTCCACAATCATGATGCACATGTCACACTCAGGGCACATCATGTTGGCGGGACCCAGTCCTCTGTGGGAGGTGCTGTCCACACACTGCTGTCCTGTAGACTGTCTCTCAACCTGCTCTGACTCATAATTCTCCCAGGAGATCCAGATTTGATTTTTTTTTTTTTTTTTTTTGCAGGAACACTATGGAGTCGAGCCACATTGAAAATGTATTTTTGTAGGTCAGGCAGGGTGGAGAGTCTGCAACTTCCCACGGCTCGCCTGAGACCTCGGGACTGCGGTTGCATCAGAGACTTGAGCAAGGAGGCCACAAGACCCCTGTCCTGTGAGGGCTGACAGGCAGGGCTGCCGGATTTCTCCATGAAGTGCTTTTCTGCTTTGCATTAAATGGTCCTCTGTGGCAGGCTACTCTGGATATCCTGTTCCTTCATACTCCTATGCAACGAGTTCAACACCCATGGATGGATTTGGCCTGAGTCTATTACTCCTGCCATGTTACAGGATAAAGGGTGTTTTGGGTCTTCTGTTTTTTTAAGCAGGCTCCATGCCCAGTGTGGGGCTTAAATTCACAACTCTGAGATAGAGAGTCACTTGCTGTACAGACTGAGCCAGCCAGCTGCATTCTTCATGGAAAGAAAAAAAATGGACAGCCGGTTAAGAACCTGGCCCTTGATTCTGGCTCAGGTCATGATCTCAGGGTCATGAGATCCAGGTCCAAGTCAGGCTCCACACTGGACGTGGAGCCTGCTTAAAAAACAAAACCAAAAAACAAACAAAAAAAAACCTGTCTCTTCCCCCCTCCTGCCTTTTTTCTGTAAATAAGTATCAGTGACTTGTAATCCAGTCCTGCTGTTACTCATTTGGATGATGAAATTGTGCTAGATTTGGCTAATTGTCCCTTCAGACTAGCTTCTGTGTCCTTTTTTAAAAAATGTGGAATGACTTTCAATTTATAGAAATCCTGCAAAGATAAGACAGAGTTAACATGTATGCTCAACCCAGCTTCCCCTAATATTCATGACTTCTTTGGCCTCGGTAGGGCTATCAAAGCTAGGAAACAGGCATTGCTAGAGCGACATGAACTACAGATGCAGCCCTTCTCCATCCCAGGGTCTACTCCAGGATGCCAGCCGCCATTAGTCCCATTCCCACCACTTGTCTAAGGCTGGCGCGGCACTCTTCATGCCACCTCTGGAACCTGCTTGTCCTTCCAGAAGCACAAATCTCTTCGTGGGGATGGTATTTAGCAGCTATGCTTGGGGCTCCCATTGTGCTCCTGGGCCTGGCCGTCCTGATTTCTAGGCCTTTCAGTGGAGAGAGCTAGGAGCCACTACAGCTTTTTGGGTCATGAATTCATACCAACGCTGGTGGCTCCTGGTCCTCTGCTGCATCTCCCTTCTCCACGGTGAGAAAGGACTCCAGCTCCCAACAGTGTCAACCCCTATGCTGTTCGCTCAGTTTTAACAGGACACAGATTGCTCCAGAAGTGCTAAGTGTGTTCTGCCACCAACCGTGAAGTTTCTAAATAAAGTTCGAAACTCCTGTGTATTTTCTTCCCTTTGACCTCAGACTTGTTTCCTCTGAGGGAGAGTGCTAGAAGTTCGGTGCTCTGAGTATTTGGATTCATGATCTTTTCCCCTCCCGGTGGAGAAGTAGCAAGTCTGAGGTACAGCGAGGGTCATCAGCCCTGCTCATGTATGGTCTCAGCTGTGTGATTTTATGACCACCCTGTTAAAGTGTCCCTGGAAGGCGACTTCCTGTCGAAACCTGGTGAAATGAGCCGTCTGGTCACCTTGCTCATCTCCCTTTCCACAGCTGTGTCCTAGCGCTAGCTGACAGTGTTGAAGAACAGAGCTGGGTTTGCCCCATCTCCCCAAACCATGGTTGCCTCCTCTGTAAGGGGTGCGGCACCAGCCTCAGAGGGGATGCTCAATGACATTCCAATTAACATTATTTCACCATTATTACTGCATTTAGCCAAAAATCATCCTCTCACATCAATGGACCAAAGGCCATCCTGAAGTCATTCTTAATGTTTCGGGGATTATACCATTTGAAATCTTGAAACATTTAATAACTTAGCAATTATAACTCAATAATTCCATCATTTTGTTTTGGTGGGATTTAAGTCTTAAGATGCCTGGCATTTCACAGAGCAATTACAGAAGGCTTTTCTGATGCTTAAGAATCACAAGCTGAGATCTGCAACTTTTGGGGGGCATTTTATTTTGTCCATATTCTAGTCTATTCTGTGTGAGGGACCGACATGTCCAGTCACCTTCTATCTTGACGGGCACCGACACAGAGGCTAGGTCTGATTGGGAGGCTAAGAAGAATCTGGAAGTGAGCCGTGAGCCGCAGACACTGGTTGCGTCACCCCAGGCAGACGGGAAGGAAAGCCACAGGCCGCTCCAGGATGGGAGTACAGAACCGGGCGCTGGCATCCACACTGCTGGCCTGCTGGCCACCAGCCAGGAAAACCTGCAGCCTCTAAGGATTATAAGCTTTCGTGGCCAAGGTTTTCCTTTCAGGCATTTTCCTCAGTGGCCATCACCTCTCTAGTTTTGGGGGGAATAAGAAAGAAACGGACAGGATGTGTAGACAGCCCTGCAGGACATAACCCAGTCCCGTAAAGCCAGAGGCGTCACACGGTAGGTACATTGATGGGATCGCCCAAAATCTCGTGTCAAGCATGTAGATCATTTTAAGTGGGTTCTTCTCAACACCATGGAAGGTCAAGTGGTAGACCCTTCATAACTTGTTGGAAGTAGGAAGAAGACATTAAGGCATTAGGATAAAAAACAGAGGAAGTAAGGCACCCCCAGCCTTCAGCACGTCCCTTTCTTACCCCTCCATCTCAGAGCAACGCATCCACTCCTGCTTGGGTGACCCCTCCATGGGCCAGACCCCCCAGTGCCCTTGTCCTCCCCCACCTCATCCAGCCTCGTTCTGGAACCCTTCTAGCCTTTCTGAGGCTGATTTCCCTCTTCTTTGACTTCAGAAACCCTTCTGCCCAATCGCCTCTTCAAGTACTTATTGTCTCCACTGTTTCCTGACATTTCCAGCCATAACTACCTCCCACCTTCCTTGCTCAAATAGAGCCCAAAGGCCCCTCGCCAAAGGCCCCGTGTCCCCGCATTTCCCACGAGGCCTGTCACAGGGGGCCTGCAGGTGGTATGACCAGCACTGGGCTCTCCAATCCCAGGATGGAGCACCAGCCGGCGGCCAGCACATCGCATCCCTGCTCAGACCCCTTTGGGCAGCGTCTCAGCCCAGCAGGGCTTACCTTGATTTCCTCCTGGTATCTGAACGTGACACCTGATGTGTAGGTTTGCCTAAAGATGCTCTCCCGAAAAATGTCCCGAAGCCAAGATCTCGTCCCAGCGACTGTCTCCTGGAATACTGTTTGCACGGAAATCTTCCCAGCTTCTTTTCTCGGCCCTTTGGCTGAATCCTGCTAGAGCAGGGGAGAGAAGGTATGTAATGGTCCCCGAGCTGTGACTCAGGCTACTCTGGAGACAACACTCTCCCTTCCCAGTCCACAGCAGGCCCTAGAGAACAGCAACCTCTGAGTCACAGGAGTGCCTTCGGGACACCTGCCTCGCCAGGGGCTACGTTCACGGTGCTTCAATTTTCCTGGACTCTGGATTCACTCTGAGAGCTGACAACTCAGTCAAAGTGGGGGAGGGGTGGGAAGGACAAGCATGCCGCCATGAACCACCCTAGCAGAGGGGACCCGGCCTTACCAATGAGCAGATCATGCCAGCCCAGGCCACGCCGGTACACCTTCCCCAGACTGGCTGGGTAAGGGCGCACCCCAAATGCAGAGCCACCACCAGCTCAGAGACACCCTTCCCCCGGGGCACCATGCAAACCCCTGATCCTTGGCCACAGAAACAGCCCAAGGTGGGACAGAGGTAAACCCAAATCCATGCTCACCACCCATGAGGCCTCCCCTAGTCCCTCTCTCCCTCTGGAAAATCCGAGTTCCATGGGGTCGCAGGCTCTGGCGTGTCCCCCCACCACAGCAGGAGCACAGCCATATGAATACAGGCGTTGGAACCCCCACCTCTGCAGTGGCTGCTCCCTGAGGCTCTGGAAGGGTCTCCCCAGCTCTGTGCTAGCCTGTGTTCCTCAGCGGAGTTCCACAAGTTAGAAGTGTCAGGACCCACAACGGGACTTGCTGCTACTCCTCCCTGCGGGATGCTCCCTGAGAACCACCGCGTGCCCTCCCTCCCAGCTGGTGGCCAAGCAGATGCGGTTCCCGCCACGGGAGCTGATGCTGCGGGGGAGAGGGCAACAATCCACAGACAGACAGGCAGGCAGACATCTGGGCGTTAACCATGGTGAGTGCCAAGTAGGAAAGTACAAGGTATTCTCAAGACATACGAAAGGGAAGATACCCAGCCTGGGGCAGTAAGGGGCTCCGTCCCTAAAAATGAGGAGGGTGCCAGGTGTGTGGGAGGGTGGGTAGAGGTGTGCCTGGCCAGCACGCCGGATCACTGGATGGCAAGAGGTGGCAACGGTTCTCAGCTGAAATTTGGACATCTCAGCACTTGTTTAAAATCCCCGAACGGTGCAGCACCTTCTAGAATAATCAAGAAGCTTCAGCATGGCATGCCTTCCCTGCGATCTGGGCTTACCTGGACCTGGCTCCTTTCCTGCCATAGTCCATTCCTTGCAGGCCCTGGGGAACAGCAACGTTCCTCCTCCCTGACCCCGTGAGGGCTGTTTCCTCTTCATGGGAATGCAGGCCCAGCCCCTGGTGCCCAGGGCACCTTATCGACCCTCTAGCTTACTGTCTGTCCCTTGTGGTGCACTTATGTGTTCACTGGGTGGCCCCCCAGAGACCTCTCTGGGAGGCGGGCCTTTGTCTCTCCCATCCCCCTGTCCTCTTCACCGGGCCAGGCAGAGACGGGCAATTAAGTGAACAGCCCAAGCCTGAGAATCTAGGCTGGAAGGCTCACATGTGTGCTCCTTGCTTTTCTCACTCCGGTGTCCTGCCAATCCAGTGAACCCTCTGTGTCAGGACCCAACCGGAAGCTGGTTGAAAACACATCACTTTTGTTGAGTGCTAGTTTTGTAAAACTTTTTGTTTTTATGGCATGGATAGAGTATTTTTACCAGGATGTAGATTACACCGGTCTGGGATTCTGACCCACATTTAAGACTTTTTTTCTGCAGGAAAATAGACCCTAGAAAACTAACAAACTTCCTAAACACAGTTTATTTGGAATTAGGCACCCACCTGTGATGGTTTAAATGGCACCTGATTCATAAAAAGCAATCATCTTATCAATCATAGTTATTTTAAAATGTGTCTTTGATATCTTAAAGCCGAAAGAGTGAAAGGAAAAAGGTTAAAACATACATTGAATTCTTCTCCATCATTAACGTCACAGTTCTGAATCATAATACAATAGACCAAAAGTTGGTTAGCCTCAATATAAAATCTCCTATCATTTTCAAATTGAAGCCCTTAAACTCAAGCATGCAGAGTTCAGAACAAGAAGCAAATGCTGTTGTGAGCGGCGACGGGCGTGAGCCTCGGAGACATGGTGTTGGGTGACGCAAGTAGACACAAAACACAGAAGGTCCAACGACAGCCAAAACGCAGGTTTGGTGGTAGGAGACAGAAGGTGGTTCCCTCTGGGAGGTGTGCGGAGGGAGTAGAGGGAGAGGGCACAGGGCGCTGGGGTCTCCCTACAGCTTGATTCGGGAGGCAGCACAAGGGAGGCTGTGTGCAAGGCCCTGAGGTGTGTACTTGGGCCGTGTGGAGCTGCCGTACTTACGGAACAGTGTGCAGGAAATGAGGTCACGTGGGAACGACCATGCATGGATACGTACTTTGGGCACATATTTTGGGTACCTTGCCTGACTTCCCAGCCAGCTGCACTGTTCTTCCGTTAACCCATTCATCTGATGTTCTGTACGTTGACTCCTGCACTGCCTCTCCGCCTCCAACTGAAGCCCTAGGAGGGCAGGGGCGCAGACTCACTCACCAAAACATCCCCAGTGTATGGAACAGAACCCAGCATGGGGCAGATGCCCAACAAATATTTGAGGAGGGGATCAGCCATTCTGTGTCCCTCCAGCAATCCTAGAAACCAGCCGATCCCTGTTCTGTGGTGAGGCCACTTGGAATTCCATACTTATCGTGGGTGCGACACGGTGTGTGCGGTCCACTTACCACTAGAGGCTTAAGTGAAATAATTCTGCAAACAATCTCAGCAGATAAGGCGGGCAGCTCATAAAACTTTTGGTCTTTTGTTATTCTGCAGACAGTTTCATGAAGTTTCAGGCACACAGTCAAGTAGGACTGTATCAAGGGCTCCTCAAGAATCCTACCCCGCAAAGAGTCAAGAGAGATCATTGAAGTAATTTAGGAGAAGTGACAAAACAGTATCCATTTCCCTGACGAGATCCTTCCCTTCAAAATACCTACGAGGAGGGCATGGTTCTGATCCCATGTAGGTTAACATTGGGAATATTTCAACAGATCCTGAACTTATGACCAAGATAAAAAAGGAAACAAAGTCCTTTTGGTTTGCCTCCAAGGTCTGAACTCTTTAGACAAAAGCAAGTGAAACTATTTCCAAGTGTAGTCCCTTATTTGAAAGAAAAAAACGCTAGGGGTGTGTATTACTGAAGATCAGGATACTAGATAAACTTGAAAAAATTTCAGAAAGATCCAGGGAGGGAGGCAGGGAGAGAGGGCTAGGGAAAAGTGCTAGAATGGGCACTGTGCGTGGAGACCACATCTCACCTTCCCCGGCTGGCACAGGGCCCGAGCTGATGGGACCTGACTGGAGCGTGGTGTGGCAGGTGGCAGGAGAAAGGCACCGTGGGGGTGCTTCTGTGGGACCCAGGGGAGACCTTGAAGCCGCGGGGCTTGATAATAACAGAGATCTGACCCCCCCACCATCCTGAACACCCTAAGAATTCAGGTGAAGTGATATGGAAAGAGCTCCGAGAATCTCAGGAAACACCTATCAGCACGTGTGGGTTTCTACTGTTCTGCATTCCGCTGTATAGTGTGTCCCTTCGGGGTGTCAGAGGTCATACAAGTCTGTAGGAGCAAATGATTTCAGATAACCATGTAAAGCTAAGTTTGATTTTTACGTTCAACTGGCCTGACTTGCAAAAAACACACAAAGACCAACGTGAAAGAAATCCAGAACACGAGCGTGAATATGTAATGTGGTGATCATCAAAAAAATAAATGGAGGCAAATGTGTAGGAAAAAAGACCAGATGGAAATCAACCAAAATCTTAGCAGCTGATATTGATTATTTTCCCTTAAGACAAAACCAAACCAAACCAAACCAGGATATTAATAGCTTAAAAACAAGGTTTGATATACACTGAGGGCCTTCTGATTTCAACAGTAAATATGGGACACGGCGGTCAGTTCGGGGGGAAGGGGGAGGTAACCTCATGCAAGACAGAGGCTGCATTTCACTTTTCTACTTACTTGTCTTGAAAAATATCCAGGAGGTGCAGCAGCATTTGAAAAATTTCCTCAATGTTCTGGGGCAGTGAAGAGAAAAGATAAGAAAGAGTTAATCATGATGCCACCATCTTCCTGAAAACAGAACTGAAAAAACAAAACCAACCTAAATAAGGCAAATATAAGTTCTTTTTTCTCTACATGGATAGAAATGTGCCCAATGGGTTTTTTCTACATGGGCAGAGGTGTACTCAATGGGTTCTTTTCTTTCTACAAATGAGTTTTAAGATGCTCAAGAACCAAGCTTACATCTTTCACAGATAAAATTCCGGATTTAAGATTATACTGTTTTCTGCACTGCACAAAATGGGAAAGGAGAGAGCAGCTGTGTGGACCCTGTCCGGACCTCCCCCAACACACACACATACACAGCCTGACCACTCCAGCCCCCCCCCCGGCCCCGCCCCAGAGTTATGGCAAGCAGAGCAGCCCTGCAGCCTAAGAAACAGCAGCCCCACCACATCTCCGGCTTCAAAGTGCTTCACCCTGCCAGGATTTCAGAAAAAAGGAATCACGGGTCCTGTCTAGTTTGATCTGCTTTTGCTTATAAGCAAGGACTTGAGATCCTGTTCCGGACAACAGACAAAAGACAACAGACCTCCCGATTTGTGCTGAAGACTTGTCTAAGCCCTTGAAGCTGGTACCAAGTCCCTAGAAGGCAGTCCAGGAAGCGAGCAGGGGAGCGACTCAGATATTCCATGAAGTTCTTCATATAGTAGACTAAGTTGCTCAGAGGCAGCAGACTGAACCAGGACCGGAACAGACACACATCTACGTCCAGCAAATGGCTCGACTCTCCCATAAGGTCAATCAATCCAATCCTGGATAAGGGACAATGGGAACAGAAAGGCAGCCTTAGGGATCAGCACACACAGATGGAGTGAAGGTAAGTACAGTCATGTTAGAAGAGGCCCATAAAGTTCAAACTTTAAAAATAACTGAATCAAATAAAAAGCAAACAATAACATATTAAGATTTCACCAAAGCGGATGAACCTTGAGGACATGACGCTGAGTGAAGCCCGCCAGTAGCAAGGACGGACACGCTGACTCTACTTCCGCGAGGTCCCCAGCTTGCAAAAATTCGAGGAAGCAGCCAGTAGGATGGTCCTTACCCGAGGGTGGGGGAGTCGGGGAAACAGAGATGTTGCTTAATGAGGACAGAGTTTCAACTTGAAAAACCTCTGGGACGGAAGGTGGCGACCCAGCCATGTGAGTGGGCCAGATCCCACTGAAGTCCACACAGAAACTGATCAGGAGGGCAAGTTAGAGCATGTGTGTATTTTACCACAGCAAAAAACTACACGAAGATATAAGCACTTTTTCCAGCTTCGCTGAGATATCACTGACATCTAACATCGTAACGTAACATAACGCGTACAATGTGTTGACTTGATACACTTCCCCGAGGATTAGCTAGCACTAATGCCACATCACGTGACCAGGACTCCTCCTCTCATGCTAACAACATGTAAGCTCTCCTCTCTCTGCAACCTGGGAGTCTATCATACAGTATCACTACCGAGAGTCACCACACTGTGCCTTGGGTTCCCAGAACTTCCTCATCTTCTAGCTGGAAATTTGTACAATGACCAACATCTCCCGATTTCCCCCAGCAGTTTCCGTCCTACTCTGTTTCTAGGAATTTGACTTTTTTTGATTCCACGCAAATGCTATTGTACATATCATATTCCCGTGTGTGTGCACATGTGCAAGTGTATGTATGCGGGTCTCACATCTCTGTTACCCATTCATCGGTCAACAGGCACTCGGTGGTTTCCGTGTCTTGGCTATTATGAAGAATGCTGCAGTGACCATGGGGTTGCACGTACGCCTTTGAGATGCCAATTCCATTTCCTTGGGATACATGCCCACAGGAGGGACCTCTGGTTCAAAAGGGTGTAGCACTGTTAACTTTTTGAGGAATCTCCATACTGTTTTCCATACTGGCTACAATGATGTATGAACTAATTGTTTTGATGAGCTACTAAGTGAATGCTTCAGATCGAACAGTCCAAAGGAGCCCAGTGAAGGTCTTTAAATCATACTGACTCTGTGACATTGTACTGGAGACCCCAGAAGATGACCACTGGAAAATCAATAAAGCTGGGGCGCCTGGGTGGCTCAGTGGGTTAAAGCCTCTGCCTTTGGCTCAGGTCATGATCCCAGGTCCTGGGATGGAGCCCCGCATCGGGCTCTCTCTCTGCTCAGCGGGGATCCTGCTTCCCTTCCTCTCTCTCTGCCTGCCTCTCTGCTTACTTGTAATCTCTGTCAAATAAATAAAATCTTTAAAAAAAAGAAAAAGAAAATCAATAAAGCAAGGCACACAGAAGTCCCGGGAGTACAAGGACCCCATGGATGAAGGTTCATGGCACAATAAAGGCCACGTATGCCTGAAAGGGACGATCTTTAAGACCAAGGCTGGTGTTTGCCATTCCCCACTGTTAACAACTAAATTTCTTCCAGACGGTTTGTACACCACTGAAGGGTCCTTAAAATGTATGCAATGATATAAGAAATCTTTTTTTTCCTTGATATAAGTAATCTTAACTGGGCTTTAACTTCTAAAGGTTCCAATAATAGTAAAGGAACAATATCTTAATTTACTTTAATCCCTATCAGCCTATGGACAGCGGTGTACTGGGTTGCTGGAGGGGTGGGAGCAGGAGAGACCTGGAATCTTTCTCTGACCCAAGACAACGTGAACGGGCCAGGGGGTGGGGGAGCACTGTGCTTGCCATTGCGTAGAAGTATTCCTCTTTTTCAAATTTTTTATCAAATTTTTATTTCATTTGTGTACTTAGGTTCGATTACCATTTTTCATTTGTGGATTGTGCATTCTGTGTCTCCTCTAAGAAAGCTTGGCTCACCTGGAGACTGGTACTTCCCTACCCCAAGACTGGCACGTACCATGGGCCGAGCCTTTGACCGGGCAGGCCTGCCTTCAGGGATTGAGCTCAGGGAAAGAATTGGACGGGGAAGCAACAAGGATGCTCGAGGAAGCATGCGCGCTTACAAAGTCAGAAACAACCTGCCCAGTCCTTGCTTAAGTAAAAATAAATTCTGATGAGTAAGCAGTCATTACAACAACGTAGCCGTGTGTTTACTGACACGGAGTCGCTCACAAAATACTGTGAGGTGAAAAAAAGCCTGTTTGGAAAACAGAATAAAGAGCCAGTCATTTGGGGGCGCCTGGGTGGCTCAGTGGGTTAAAGCCTCTGCCTTCTGCTCAGGTCATGATCTCAGGATCCTGGGATGGAGCCCCGCATCGGGCTCTCTGCTCAGCAGGGAGCTGCTTCCTCCTCTCTCTGCCTGCCTCTCTGCCTACTTGTGATCTCTGTCTGTCAAATAAATAAATAAAATCTTTAAAAAAAAATAAAAGAGCCAATCATTTGTCGCTGTTATCGAGCACGTCACATGCCCACAAAGCTGTGTTTGGACAAAATCAGAGAAATGTGCATGCCAACGTGTTAGCAACAACGATTATCTCTGGGAATTCAGGCTTGTTTTGTTGTTGTTGTTGTTGTTGTTTTTAATATTCTTTGTTACATTTCTTGTATGTTTAAAGTTTGTTAAAGAAGTTATTTTAAAAGATCACTAGAAGCAGAAACGTGTGCACCCAGGGGGCCGCTGGAGATCCCCGAAGCACGGCTGTGATTCCAAGATTTACAGACGGAAGTGCAGATCCGCAGCTTACCAATCTAGCCTTCTTTCCCGAAACTCAGAGAAGGAGATTCCTTCCAGGGCCGCCCAGGTGTCCTCAGGCTGCATCCTGGAGTCCTTTCCTTGGGGCGCCGGCGCCAGGCAGTGGTGCAGGACGGGCAGGGTGAGCACCCAGAGGACCACTCTCTCCTCCATGCACCGTCGGCACAGGTTGACCAGGAACTCCCGCCAGCTGCGAAGGGGGCAGAGAGCCCGAGGTGAGCTGGGATGGCCAGTGTCCTGCCCCCCGGCGCTCTGACAGCCCCTCACACAGAGGAGGTAAGGAGCACTCAGGGTGGCTGAAAAGAGTGACTAGCCCCAGGGAAAACGTGGCTGCATGAGACACGGGGACGCCCTCGGCACCCTGCGAAGCGTCGGGCCCCGGAGAGGCCTTCTGTGCAGACCCACAGCAGACGTCCATCCCCTTGACAGCTGAGGTTCAGGGGCTATGTGACCTGTGAGCCCAGGCCCTCTGGCGACAGTAGGCCCAGATACGAAGCCACTTTGCCGGCGCAAGGGGAAGCCTGTCAACCACACGCGGCACACTGCCTTCCGTCACAAGACAAGAATGCTCGCCGCTTTTCGGAAACCCTCCAAACACACCTCGTACATTTGCAGCCAGTTCCTCTCCCTTAAAAAAACGTAGTGTTGCACTCAGTGTTTCAAGTTTGTAAAACCAAGAGACAGATGTCCCAGTAAGACACTGCTCAGGGAAGGCTGCCTCCTACTGCCCTCCAGTTCTGTTCACACAGCTCCTGAGAACAGCGTAGGAAGGGCCTGAAATCCTGGGGTGCTGAGCGGGGCCCCTCCACCCGAACGATGGAGGCTCCTCAGGGCAGACCGGTGACCGCCGAGGCCCAGGGAGAGCAACCCCCTTGCATCCAGGGGCGTGCCTCACTGGGCCCTCACAGTCCATCTTCAAACCCCAACCCCTGCAACCTTGCACACACAGGGTAATATGGGACATTTTCAAGTTTTCATGCTTGTGGGCACTGCTCCTGGGCTCCCAGAGAAGCAAAACTTTGACATTAACAAAGGGGAAAATGACTTCAACCACGGGCTCTATTTCTGCCAGGAGCACACACCGTGTGTCTGCTTCATTAAAAATAAATAAATAAAAACCAAAAAGGAGCATTCCAAACAGAAAGATAAGAAAAGAGAAAACAGGGACGCCTGGGTGGCTCAAGTGGGTTAAGCCCCTGCCTTCGGCTCAGGTCATGATCCCAGGGTCCTGGGATTGAGTCCCACTTCGGGCTCCTTGCTTGGCGGGGAGCCTGCTTCTCCCTCTGCCTCTGCCTGCCACTCTGCCTGCTTGTGTGTACTCTCTCTCTATCTCTCTCCCTCTGGCAAATAAATAAAATCTTTAAAAAAAAAAAAAAAAGAGAAAACATGTCCTGGTTCCCACAAGATTAAAGTATTACACATACTAAACACATAAGGAAAAGTCTGTAACTTTCTGAATGTCTGTCTTGATGATCTGAAACTCCTTCCACAGAGAGCACACATCACCCTGCACCCCGTGTTCCCTCCCTGGAGCGTGTGTGCTCCTCTTCGTGGGTTCCAGTTGGCCGCTTTAACTTGGGCTCAAATAAAATACTTTTCCTGTTTCATTCTTCTTTTTTTAAGATCTCATTTTTATGTGGCATGCCTGGCTGGTTGGGTCAGTGGAGCGTGCGACTTTTATCTTAGGATTGTGAGTTGGCGGCCCACATTGGGCATGGAGCCTACTTAAGAAAAAAAAAACTAACAGGCACCTGGGTGGCTCAGTTGGTTGAACGACTGCCTTTGGCTCAGGTCATAATCCTGGACTTCCAGGATCGAGTCCCGCATCCGGCTCCCAGCTCCTTGGGGAGTCTGCTTCTCCCTCTAACTTTCTCTCTCATGCTCTCTCTCACTCATTCTCTCGCAAACAAATAAGTAAAATCTTAAAAAAAAAAAAAAAACTAATAAAAAAATAAATTTAAAGATTTTATTTTTGAGTCATCTCTACACCCACATGGGGCTCCAACTCACAGCTCCGAGATCAAGAGTCGCCCGCTCCACTGGCTAAGCCAGCCAGGTGCCCCACTTCCTTTATTTATTTTTTTTAATTTTATAAAAAAAAAGGTTTGTTCCTTTTGGGTCGCCAGGGGCAAGGCATGGTACAGCATAAAGCTTCTCAAAAGCAGGCTATTCGACAGAAGAGTAATAAAAGTAAAAACAAAACATATGCTAGGAAGAAGGCCGGCGAGGCCAACACTGACGCGGCAGGCGAGGGGAACCACGAGCAGGTTTACTTCCGGCACATCTGCATCCGGCCCGCGACCAACACTCATTTGTAGAATCCGATCACTCTTAGAAACAGCTATAAAATCATTTCACACACACACAATACCTCTGACATGTTCCAAAGATGTGGCTTAGGTCACTGTCAAGGTCTCCTGGTGAACGCGCGTTGGAGGAAAGAAGACTACAGAGGATCTCCAGGTCATTCTTCGATAAGGGAATGTCAAACTTTTCCACAGCAAAAAGGAGGATCAGGCCCATTCTCAATTTACTCTTTACTGGGCTGTCTTCAAACAGAGGGTCCCCACTTCTTCCCAGAAACGGTGCTGCCTGTTTTTTCAAATACTCCCACAGGTTTCTCTTCACCTGATCCCAGGAAAGAAGACAGAACCATGGACTTGAAGCCAGCAGGGGTGCGAGAGGGGCCCCTTCACGGCCCTCAGTGCCCTGTCAGCTGGGCAAGGGACCAAGGCCCCCAAGAGGCAGAGACGGTTCCATGGAGGGGCCGCCCCACTGCCCTGCCTCCCCAGCTAACCCCGAGCACCCCCTACTTCCCACGTCTCTGCTGGGAGATGCCACCAATGGTGCGGTCCAGAAACTCTGCCCGGTGGAGGGGCCCTTCATGCTTGCAAGGGCCCAACTGCCATCTCAGAAATGGCCCCAGGCTCCTCTCTACACTGCCAGGGCCATCCCACAAAGCAGGCAGAGAGGTGATAAAGGAAGGCTCCACCTGTTCCTTCCACTCTGCCAGAAGCCAGGTGGAGGCGTGAGGGGTGAGGGGTGAGGGGGTGGGGCCAGGAGAGGACGTGGGGGGGGGGGGGGCCAGGAGAGGAGGTGGGCAGGGTGGGGCCCGGGTAAGGAGGTGCCGGTCGGGGAAGGAAGAAAGAAAACCAGGAGGACAGAGACTCCACAAGCAGCAGAGCCTGGACAATGGTGAGGGTGAGATCTGCCCCCACCTGCTCCCCAGGGATCCCCTGGCCGGTAGGAAGTGGGGTGATGCCGACTGCATAGAAAGGGAGGGGAGGGGCGTATACTCTGACACCCAGTACCTCCTTCTCCTCGTACTGCAGAGAGTGCCAGGGCTGTGCGTGGCCCTCGTAGATCATGGGTACTTTCACGACACAGTAGAACTGCTGGAGCTGGGTGAAAAAGCTCTTCAGGTTGGTGGCGCTCCAGGGCTGCAGAATGCTGAAGATGCCGTCCAGCATGACGGCGGCCGCCACCTGCTTACCCCTCACCAGGTCCTTCCTTATCCCGTCTGTGAAGGAACTCACCATCCTCTGAAGCTTCCCCGGGCTCTTCATACGGACCAGATCATCATACTGGTGCCAGTCTAAGAGCGAAGAGAGGAAAACACCATGCTGCGGGCCATCTGAACGCGGCGACCTAGACACCGCCCCCAGGAGGCCGACGACCCGAACGCAGGAGGCAGAGGAAGGGAAGGAACTGAACTCATGTGGGCCACGGTCCCGCCAGCGGAGGGGCAATGCAGGAACCGCTGTGTTTAGGACACGGACCCTTGCCGCCCCATAGTGATGAGAGGGGGACCCAAGGTCCCATGATCTGGCTGGCGTGAAAATATTTGAAACGTGTCTGCACTAAACCAGACGGCTCAGCACACTTGGTATATGGGATCATTAGAATACGATCGCACAGAGGTTAAGAATTCTATCCCAAAACCGCACTCACTAACAGTTGAGCACCCCACTTGGCTGAGTTACTGGACCCAAAGGCTAGTTTCCTCTGTGCTGGGAGCTGGGATGCCCACTCCACGCGGGACAGACAAGACAGAGCCCTTGATGCAGGGCAAGGGCTGAGTCCACCCCTGCTCTTGGGATGAGGTGCAAAGGTACGAGTGTTGATTAGAAAACCCGACAAAACCAGCTGCAAAATAATCAGAAGACCAGGGGTCAGTAAGACGGCCAGAGGCAACATGAACACATGAACTCAGCCACGACGATCAGGATGGGCACGTGTCCGGAAGAGCAGGTACCCCGCATCCCGCTGTCGGCACCGAGGTCCTCATTCACCCACCTCTGCTCCACCCCAGCCTGGCCAGAACTCAAAATTACTGTTGGGAATTACTGCTTTTCCTGCTCTCCGTGCCCGGCCTCCAGACGCCCACATGAGCTGCTGGTCTGGCCAGGCCCACATCCCAGAGGGGGAGGGAGTGCCACCTGGGTCACCTGGGCAGGGGACACCTTTGACACTGGGATGGGGGAGAGGGGGCCATCAGAGGCTTTGGTCTCTCAGAATCTACCAGAAGAAAAGAAAGAACATGTTTAAGTTTCCAACCCACTAGAGAAAACGAAAGAGAAAGAAGTTCTGCAACTTAGAAAAAATACCCAAAAGAGGGCATGAAAACAAGGTGAACAGAAAAGACAAGTCAAGGTGGCCAAAGTCTGTCCTCCAGCAGCAGTCGGGATGAACGTGGGCAGGCTAAATGCATCCACTAAGGACGGTCAGACTGAATGAAAAACCACGACAGAAAACAAACCAATGAAAGCCCAGCGAAACAGACAGGTGGCCGGAGAGGCAGGCCCCAGAGCGAGGGCCGAGCAGAGACGAAGGCGGTGATGGAGAAGCAGAAGCCGGGGGTGCAGACAGCAGGCACACCCCCCTTTCCAGGCAGAACGGCACCGGCACGTGGCAGAGGGACTGCGGAGGGACAGTGGAGGGACGGCAGAGGGCTGTAGAAGGACTGCAGGGGCACCATGGGGGGAAAGCGGGGGGACCGCAGATAGTGGAGGGACCGCAGAGGGACAATGGAGGGACCTCAGAGGGACAGCATAGAGACTGCAGAGGGACAGTGGAGGGCTGTGGAGGGACTGTGAAGGGACAGTAGAGGGACCACGGAGGAACCACGGAGGGACTGTAGAGGGACCATGGAGGGCCGTGGAGGAACTGTGCAGGGACCATGGATGAACAGAGAAGGAACAGTGGAGGGACCACAGAGGGACCACAGAGAGACAGAAGAGGGACAGTGGAAGAGGACACGGAAGGACAACGCTCAGGCGCCCCCCCAGGCGGGCGGCCCTGGTCTGGGTCTCTCGGGGTGCGGGGCTACAGCCGGAAGCCCCCACTCTGGCGGCCTGGCCACTGCCACTCACGCTATGCGGGGATGCGTAGAGGGAGGAAGGGGGACAGCCACCCCTGCCCGTACTGCGCCGGGAACCAGGAGACCTGCAGTTATTTCAAGTGCTATAGAGGAGCCGCCGCGGCACGGGACGGAGTGGACACGAAACCCCTGCCATCACCCCGTTCCCGGCACCTTCCACGCCCCTTCCCCAACCGTCTGTAGCGCTGACAATGACCTCCGAGGAGAGCCTGCCAAGGCCTCCCCACGAGCCGTCCCGCAGGTCACCAGGCCTCACCTCCGTCCCGCTCCCACACCCCCGCAGCCCCAGGTCCGCACCGCCACCCTGCATCGAAGGCCCGCGGCGCTCGGGGCCGGGCAGCAGCAGGGAGCAGCGCCGGGCTTCACGCGGGAGCCGACAGACACGCCAGCCTTCGAGAATGGACTTGACTATCAAACAGGCTTCATCTACTAGATACACGAGGGTCCGCGCGCCCCCGGCTCGCGGCTCAGTCTGGCTCAGCCCACGGGGACGCCTGCCACAGACCGGGCACCAGGCCACAGAGAAGGTCCTCGCACATTCCCAAAGCAGAAGCCACGGAGATCATGTATAGGTAGAACACACACTGCACACGCCACAGGCCACACACGCCGATGTGCCACGTGCACGCCACACACACAATGTTCACACACACACCATGTCCCCACACACTCCACACACACCGTGTTCACACACACGCCACATTCATAAACACACCATGTTTACACACACACCGTGTTCACACACACACACACCATGTTCACACACACACTACATACAATGAGAAGAAAAGAGAGCAAAAAAAAAAACGGGAAAGACGAGACAAGGAAGCAATTACACATGAACAGGAGAAAGGAGACGAGCGGAGGGTGGCCAGGACACAAGGAGCAAGGGTGTGGGTGCGGGCAGGGGTCTGACCCACAGTCTCCGGGGCAAGGGGTGGGTGCCCATAGCTCCAACCTCGTCCTCCCGCCCTGAACCTTCTTGCCAGAGCCCTGTGGCCCCTCCGCCCAGCCTCTCACCCCCTCACCCCCAGCAGCTTCACCCTCTCTGCCCGTGAGTAAAAATCCTTATCCTGGTTTCCCCTGGGAAGTGAGCGGTTCCGTTACACTGATCCAAAACGGGCTTCTGAACTTGGGTTTCTTCAATGCAGAGCTAGAGGCTGGGGGCCAGGGCCCAGGGCCCAGGGGCACGGGCAAGGGCCGTGCCAGCCCAGAGGACCCACGGGGGCCCCCGCTCTGCAGAGGACCGGCCACTTTGGGAGGCCCAGCACCGGCACGCCTGAGCCCAGGCCAGGGGCCCCACCGGCGACTCACCTCCTGAGCCCAGAAGCTCTGCCTTCACCTGCAGACAGCGGTTGACGTGCTCGTTGCTCTGCTGAGGTTTGCAGATGTACTCGTAGTCGATGCTCTTGCCGTGCATGACAACGTACTTGTACGGAATGGCTTTATTCAGGTACTGCCGGGAAAGGACGGCGCTGCCTTCCACGAGGAACCCGTTCTCGTACAGGTCTCTGAATCGACAGGACACCGGCTGGTTATCCAAAACAGAATCCTAGTTTGAACATTTTACCTCTCCTCAAACAGCCTGGAGCAAACCCAGAGCTAGAAATCACTGCTGACCAGAGGATGCTTCTAGAATGAGACACAGTTTGCAGACAGAACCAACACTAAGTGCGGTGACATAGCACAGAAGCACATTCGAGGGAGTATCTGTTTGGAGCCGTCGTTTTCCAAAGCGTGAGAATGTTAGCAACGTGAAACAAATCATGATTTCAATGTATTTCGAAGACCGGCTGTTCCGTGCCTTCCCCGAGAGAGTCCCCACGACCCCCAGCACACTCACTTGGTGCAGTGCATCTCACAGACGTTCAGATTCCACTTGGGTTTCCCAAACTCCTCTCCCCCCTTGACAAACACTTTGTGCACGTTGGGGTCAAAGCCGACGTCCTTGGAAATGATTGCGTGGAAGAACACCGTGATCCTTTCCTGGAGACTCAGTGGGCTGGAGGAAAGCATCAAAGGAAACACGGATGAGATCTAGATCTGCCTGCCCCCTGCGCACACACATGCACACTCACACACCATACGTGCACAACAGGGCCTCTGTTTCTTGACTGCTCACACACACCCCGGCGGAGTGCAACAGCGTCCACACTTCAGACAGACCCATGCCATTTGGGTCCTGCTGGGCCCCCCTCACGGTGGAGGAGAGAGGTGGGCTTCTACTCACAGGGTGGGGGGCCATCTCTGCCTGGCTCTGAAGGGCTGGGGGCTGTGGCGGGAGGGGACAGAAAGCACTCTGGGACGTGCCAGCCTCTCCCCTGAGATCCATAAGGCTCATGTGGCCTTGGGGACCCTGGGGGCTGTATGCTGGAGCAGATCACCAGCAAGGAATGGGGACACGTGGCTCCCCACCACTCCCCTCCTCAGCAGTTCCCCCATTTCCCCAAAAGAGTCACCAAGAAGGGCAGCCTGGGAGGCTGTGCCTGCGTCCCTGGGGCAGGTTGTGTCCTTGCTCCCAGGTGCCAGGGCTCACACCTACCTCTCCTTCACTTCACATGCTCCCGCTTTGCGCTTCTGTTGCTCCTTCTCACTTTTCACCGTGGCCGCACAATTCTTGTCATTCCCTCCCGGCTTCTTCGGAGCCCCTGGCTTGGCCTTATCACTTCCACCTGCTTTGTCTCCAGCAACGGCCACCTTCTCCTTGGTTTCAGCTTCCTGGAACAAGTAACCAAGCCCATTTGCCCCCTCCAGTCAATGCTTGTCACAGCAGCCAGAGTAGTCATGTCCCTTCCCCGCTCAGAACCTTCCGTTGCCCTCTGACCCGTCTGCTACAGCCTCCAAGAACCCCTCTGCAACCTTCTTTCCCTCACTTGCTCCTGGGGTCACTGGTTTCCTTACTGTTCCCAGTACAAGTCTGCCACCGTCTGCCACAGGGCCTTTGCACCTGCCATTGTTGCCTGGGACGTGTCCCCAGAGAACTGCATGGCTTGCCCCTGACGCTTGCAGATCTCTGCTCCACCGGCACCTCCTTGAGGAGACCCTGCCTGGCGACGCTCTCTCAGCACCCACCTCGGCTCCCTCCACCCGCACCATGCTTTTCCATGTGGCCCTCCCTGTGCCTAACTTCGCTTTCTGTCTTTCCCCCTATAGAATGTGGGCCATGATGGCAGGAATCAGGTCTCCTTCGTGGCTGCATCCCTTGCACCCGAAAGGGAATCACTGAATGACAAGGAAGGATGAAATTTAGAAGGAACAGGGCCCAAAGGAGCAGATGGTGGGACAGACAGCAGGACGTGGAGGCTTCCAAGACAAGATGCCTTCCCTACCTGGCGGAGCTCTGGGGAAGCAGGACAGCTTGCGGGCAGCTGTTTCGTTTTCTGAGTCTTGGCTTTCACTTTTTCCCCAGCCCCTCCCTCAGGCTTAGCGGGCTGGGCTGCAGCAGCGGTTTCCTGGAGGAGACAAAGGCCCCAGACGTCAGGACCCAGGCGACAACTTGACGGGGACAGGTCAGCGCTGCCACCAGCCCAGTGAGAGGGACCAGTGGCTCAGGGAGGGGTGTCATCCCAGGGAACAAGTCCCAGAGGTGCCCTTCCTGGGCAGGGAGGTGACAGCAGAGCTGCTTGGCCACAGCCAGCAGTCCAGGCACAGTGGACCCATTCATCACTTCCCGACAACTCACCCCAGAGGCGTGAGCCCCGGCCTGCCGCGCGGGGCTCTGTGGTTCCATCTTGGGCTCATAGGCCCGCTTGGACTCAGGAGGCAGGACTTCCTGATCAGCACCTTCCTTCCCAGGACGGTCTTTGCTGGCAGAGGTGTTTGGACCAGCCCCCTCCTGGGGGGGGCCCCTGCCCTTGGAGGGCTCGGGGGTGTCGTGGCCCTTCCCATTCAGGAGGGCACCTCCCCCAGTCTGGTCCCGCGGAGGGCTGCCACCAGCCTCAGCCTGCCCCATGGGCCCTGGGTGGTCACCACCTTCTGGCGGAGTCGGGGCGGTGCCCGGGGGCTGGCTCGGCTCGCTGGTCGGACCACCTTGCGGGGCCCTGCTCTGGGGTGGGGCTGGGTCCTGGAAGCAGGAGTTGGCAAGCGAGCTGACGCCCCCTGGGACGGAGGTGGCCTCCAGCAAGGAGTCTGGCTCTGCGGAAGCGGAGGCATTCTGGTTCTTTCTCTTCCTCCCTCTCTTCCTTTTGCTCTGAACAGAAGAGACACTCGTTATATTTCCTGGGGTCACTACACTCTACCAACACTTTCCTCCAATTTCCTTTCAATGTCTCAAGTACGTCAAGCTTGGTCTGACCAAACCCCCTCATCTCTGTCAGATCTGCCGGCTCCTTATCCTGGAAAGACGCGAACCGTCGGGGCGGGGGACAGAGCTGCAGGACAGGCGGCCGAGCAGTGCCGGCCACACCCTTCGTCCCGGCAAATCACAGCCGAGAACCTCCCCTGGGGCTGCTTCCCATGGGACATCCCGAAGCGTGCTGCTTGCAAGTTCCAAAGCGGACGTGACCCCCCACGTGCCACACTCCAACATCCAAGCCGTTCGGCCGGGAGGTCAGGAGACCAAAAGCAGACGGGAGTCTGAACGGCCCTTTTTAGCCTGGAGTTCCCTGCTCAGGTCAGCGCTCCCAGAAACAGCTTGTGGGGAGCAGCGGGAGGATGCCCCTCTGTGGACCTGGCCGGCACCCGATGCCCTATCTCTCGTGGGACACAGCTCTGGAGCAAGGGAAGAGTGGCCAGTGCATGAAGTGCCACTGGCCTGTAAGTGCCGGAGACACAGCACTGGGCTCACCACCTGCCGCCCCAGGCCTGGGGTCTGTTGGCCCAGTTCTAGGTCAGGTCCTGGGTCTTCTCCAAGCTCTGCCCGCAGAAACCAGCAGGACACACGGGGCCACCCCAGCGCTGCGGCCTTCGAGGGAGACTTCCTGGCCTGTAAACGGACACCTGCTACCGTCGCACTGGCAGGAACAAGGCTTTAAAATGGGGGGGGGGGGCGCTTGGCCTGCAGTGGCTCAGATGGGTAAGTGGCTGACTCTTGATTTCAGCTCCGGTCATGATCTCAGGGTCGGGAGATTGAGCCCCATGCCCGCTTGTCCCTCTGTCCCTCCCCCGCTTGCTTTCTCTCACTCCCTCTCCTTAAAATAAATAAATAAATAAATAAATAAGTCTTTAAATAATAAAGAAAAGGTCATCTAAGGGCTGTGGCTGGCTCAGTCAGAACATGCGACTCTTCTTCATCTTGGGGTCTCCACACCACGTGGGGTGTGGAGATGACTTAAACAAATGAAACTTAAAAGAAAGAAAGGTCATCTAAGGCAGTAATTTGTCCAACACCCGTGGGGGTACAGAGCACTAAACATGCAGACGGTAACTCGGCAGGCATGGGGGACCTGGGGGTCTGCATTTCCAATGAGCTTCTGCCTGGGCCGCTGGAGACCAGGAGGACCCGGGCAGGGCCCGGAGCACTCCCCTGGGAGCCCCGCCAGCTCTGCTCCGACTGGACCCTGTGCAGGGACCAGGAGCAATAGCGCAAGGCTTGTTCCCGCCCCACGAAGCCAGTGGTTTCGGGAGAGAGGCAGACTATGTAAACGGATGGTGTTAAGTGTGTGGGGAAGGCCAATGGCAAAGGGGCTGGGATCTCAGAGGTGGCCTCTAGCCTGGAAGGCTTCCTAGAGGAGATGGTGCAGGCCGAGCCTGAAAGCCACTGAAACCCTAATAAGATGGCTTCGCCCATTCCCCAAGGACTCCCTGGTCCTGTACTGTGTGCGAGCGGCCGGAGACTTGCTCACCCAGGTAACAGCCCGGACCGTGGCCGGGAGACCCCCGCTCACGGCCCGCCCACCTCACCCTGCACTTGTCCTGCTCCCGCCGCCGCCGGTATTAATCCTGGGTTTTATTTTCTGCAGTTTATGGCGCTTTGACAGTTGGGGGTCCTTGCTAATCCTGGAGCCCGCCCCGCCCAGGGCTAGCTCACTCTTAGACTGTGGAAGACTCCCTTCCATTTGCAAACCAACCAACCCAGAGCCCACACCCTACACACCTCCCTCCGCCACTGTTCCTCTGCCCTAAATCATCCCAGGGCTGGGGACACAATGGCTGGCAACACCCCGACAGCCCGGAGCCCACCAAGATCACTCAAACCAGCCAATCCTGAACTTGCCCAAACTTGCCTTGCCCCCTCCTCCTCTCGGCCACCCAGGGGCTTCCCCGCATGGCACGATCCCTCCTCTTGTCACTCAGCCACGTCCATCAGTTAAATGCCCGACACAATCAGGACGCCTCCTTGCTGTCCTTTCCTGCTTCGATGTCCCTCTCGTAGACAACTCCTTCCTCCTGTCCCCTGGGCAGAGGCCATCCCTCCTGGACACACTCTGTAGGAAAGCGAGCCCACCTTGCCCTCCCTCCGCCTGACCCCCACAGGAGTACAACCTTGCCTGAAAACAATGCATTCTTTACTAATAATTTTCTCTTCCATCCCCTTTCTGCCTCTAGAAAACCTTCCACTCAGCCTTTTGGCGCTCCTTCCGTTGCTGGATGGGATGTGCCTGATTCGTGACTCATTGAATAAAGGGTCCTGTCCTAGCCCGGGGCCCTGGCCCTTGGTTCCCTGGCAGAGTCCCCTCCACCCCGTGGGAACACCCCAGCTGCACCCACGAGCCTGTTCACACACGCACGTGCCGTCTGACCGTGGCGTTCTGCAGGGTCACTAGGGACTGGCCACGAAGCCCCGTGAGCGAATCCCCAGGGACGACCCCTCAGCATCCACCTGTGCTCTCCTCTCCGGCTCCCTTTCGCGGGTGGGAGCGTGTGCATTTTGGCTTTTGTTTTCAACCCCTCCTGTGACAGTGCCACACACGGCTTTCTGACACCGGGGTGAAAATCACAGAACATACAATGAGCCATTGCACACACTCTCTATCTAGTTCTGCACATTTTCATCCCCCCTGAAAGGAACCCCATGCCCTCCGAGCGATGACTCCCCACTTCCCTCCTCCAGGTGCTGGCAGCTGTTCCAGGAACAGCTTCTTTAGCGCTTCTCATCCTTAGACATCCCAGAGGTCAAGCTCCAGAACACGGTCTGCAGGGCTCCCGTCCTCTGTCAGAACGGGCGGCACCTTCAGACCCCCAACGCGGGGAGGGAGTGGGGCGAGGCCAAAACCCCACAAACCAAGCTCAGCCGCCAGGGCCAGGTCTCCTGCTACGGAGACTTTCCAGACATGCAACTGAACTTATGCTCTTTTGCTCAGTGTGGCTGGTGCTTCCCTGGGAGGGACAGGACCCCGCAGGCCCCTTCTCTGCCATTTTCACTGGTGTCCCTTTACGATTCTTGGGGTTTTCTCTTATCTCTTTTTGTTTATTTAGTTATATGATTGGATCGCAAGAATTTCCCCACGGCTTTCTTCTTTGAGAAAATAACAGTCAGAGGCCACAATACATTCCGGCCTAGGGACAACCCAGGGGGCCCTGCCCAGGGTGGGGGAACTCAAGAGGGTTCCAGCCTATGGGCCACTGAAGCTGGGGCTGCGATTAAATCCTCTCTGAAACCCTCAGATGCCTTTCTGGGGTCATTTCTCATAATGAAATCAGAGAAGAAGAGCACCTGTCTCGCTGGGGTCCCACCAGACTACCCGCAGGTGCACGGAGAGCTCCACCCCAAATGCTGACTTTAAATCCATTCTTTAATTTTATAAGTTTCACATAAAAGCTCACGGTTCTTTTTATTTTCCAGGTTTGAGTTCAGAGGTGGGAGCTTTATAAATTTATAGGCCATTTATTTAGAGACTATAATCTACTATTGACCCACTTTTTCCTACTGGGTTGTTTACTGTTTTCTTCTTGATTTCTAGGAGCTTTTGACATACTGAGGCAACTCACTCTTCGTTAAAAGTACTTTTATGTGGGGCACCTGGGTGGCTCAGTGGGTTAAAGCCTCTGCCTTCGGCTCAGGTCATGGTCCCGGGGTCCTGGGATCGAGCCCCACATCAGGCTCTCTGCTCAGCGGGGAGCCTGCTTCCCCCTTTCTCTCTGTCTGCCTCTCTGCCTGCCTCTCTGCCTCCTTGTGATCTCTGTCAAATAAATAAATAAAATCTTAAAAAAAAAAGTACTTTTATGTAAATAAAAATATTCTATGTTTCTCCTAGATTGTTTGCCCTTCATTTGTGCTTATCATATTCTATGACGTTTCTAATTTAAGTCAAAGACACTGATCTCTTGTTTGTAGTCTTTTCCGTTGCTTTAATTACCAGAAACTCTTTCCCTGTTCAGAGATCAGATACATATTTACACATCCCCCACCCCTGTTCTTGCAAATACGAGGTTCTGACTCAGGGATGTCTCTTCTAGTACAGCGATCACCCCCAGAATTCACTGTTTCACTGACTACGGCTTTGTAACTCGTTTCTGTTTGATTTCGTGCAGTAAGTCCCACTCAGACTTTTCTTTTTCATAGTATTCTTGGTTATTCTTGCCTATTTTGGAAAAGAGCCTTAAACTCACTCTGGTTACTTCAAGGTTAAAAAAGAAAACCCAGGGAGCACCTGGGTGGCTCAGTGGGTTAAGCCTCTGCCTTAGGTTCAGGTCATGATCTCAGGGTCTTGGGATCGAGCCCTGCGTCGGGCTCTCTGCTCAGCGGGGAGCCTGCTTCTTCCTCTCTCTCTGCCTGCCTCTCTGCCTGCTTGTGATCTCTGTCAAATAAATAAATAAAATCTTTAAAAAAAAAGAAAAGAAAAGAAAACCCAGTACTGCTGGACTCAGAGTCGAGTCCTCTCGCGGTGCCACGTGCCCTCCTGTGGGGGGGCACCCCCCCGCACCCACTCTCAGAGTTCACCTGAACCTTCACCGTCCCACGTCCTGCTCAGGACAGCGACACCCCAAGGGGAAGGACACACACTCACACACAAACACACTCAAAAATCACACTCACACCCCTACACCCCACTCACACCTCACACACACACACACACCGTCCACTCACTCACATGCATACCACACACATACACACCCCACACGCACCGCTATCACACCAGCTACTCCCGCACACCTATCTACACCCCACACCGCACACCCCACACTCCCACCACACGTGAGTACCCCCACCATACGCATCCACACCACATGCTAACACGCCCACACCACACATACCCAACGCCACACACATCGCACACTAACAAAAACCTCACCCGGCCTCACACACTAACATACACCACACCCCATACTCCTGCACCCTCCACACAGCCCACTCACACCCACACGACACAAATCCCACACTCACGCACACGCACACTACACACTAACACACACTCTTACACATCCCCCGCTCTCACCTCACATCACACCCCTGCCACCCGACACACCCCCCCCGCACCGCCGCACCCCGCACGGTGCCCCCCCTAACCGCGACCCTGCTGGCTGCGCGTCTGCCCCGCTGGCCTGACGCTTCAAGGAACAACTGAGAAGAGACAGGACACCGGCCCCAACCCCGACACGGAAGGACAGCATCGTGTTCCCGCGTCCAGCAGGAGCCCCAGGCCGCTGGGTCCGCACAGGCCGAGCAGCAGCAGCTCAGGCTTGCAGACCCAGCGGGCCTGGCGGGGGAGCAGAACCCAGAGCCGTGGCCAACCAGCCGCAGAGACGGGGCTGCCCTGGTGCTGCCCCGCGTGCAGCCATCGGGGGCGGGGGGGCCACACCGAGCCGCACAGTAAGGATGGGGGGGGCCCCTTGTTCCGCCTCGGGTGCGACCACAGCAGCGGCAGCTTGCGGGCCAAGCAGGGGGGAAATGGGCCGTTGCTGCTCCTCACAGACCACCCCGCCCCGCGTCCCGCCACCAGGGCCCAGGACTACTCACTCTGCCCACTCCTGGGCCAGCCAAGGAGACACTGGAAGCGGGCTCGTCCTGATCCTCCTGCAGGAGGTGACTTGAGTCCGGGGACAAGAGAGGGCCACCGTCCTCCCTCACCTCCTGTCCACACTCCATCTCTTCCTCGGGGTCTGAGGTCACCTTGGGGTCACCGTCCTCCTTCAGTTCCTGTTCACACTCCATTTCTGCCTCAGGGTCCGAGGTCACCTCGGGGCCACCATCCTCCTTCAGCTCCTGTCCACACTCCCTTTTCTCCTCTGGGGCCGGCACTGCCTCAGGGTTGTTGTTCTCAGAATCTGCAAAAGTCCACACATGTGGGTCAAGTCTCACGGTAAAGCAAGGAAAATCCCGGAGGAAAGTCCCGTGAGGACACTGGCCAGATCAGCCCTCTCCCCCAACATGCACTTTCCCTGGGTGCAATTTCTGCTCTTGGGTGGGCATGACGGACCCAGGACCCCGGCTCCAGCCCCAAGGAAGAGGCCGAACCCCCGGGACAGCACGTGCAGTCGGACTGTCCAGCTCTTCCCGACGTCGGCATCAGCAGAGTGGCCCAGCCCTGGGTCTAAAACAGAACAAGCCACTCCCCTCCCTGCCCGAGGTGCTTCTTCCTCTCTTCTCAGGGAGAGGCGCCCCACTCTCAGCCCCTCTCACTGGGGCTCCTGGCCCGACCCAGAGCTCCCAGCGCCTCCCTGGTCCCTGCCCCCATTGACCCTTGTACCCCAGCTGCTTTGCTCTCAGAGTCGCCCCTGTTTACAACCACCATCCCCAGAGGGGCCCCCTCCCAAACGGAGTCCTTCAGGGACCCTATTTTCAAAGCTGGGTCCCCACGTCCCCCCCCAACTCCAGATGGCTTTCTACTTGGAACCTTCCTTCAGCCTGGTCTCCAGAGCCAAGGCCTGCTGGGCCCCGCTTCTGAAGCCCCTTCCTCTTCCTTCTCCTAGGCCCTGTCTTATGCCCAACCTCCCCTCTGTAAATTCTGGAGAGCAGGGACCAGTGCTTTGCTTCCCTTGGAGCCTCTGGCATTTGGGACTTGGCCCTCAGAAGTCATCCTTTGGATGACTGTAACAAGACTCAGAATTAATAACAACTACATTAAATGGCTAAATACACATACTTAGAACTTTGAGTTGCCCCAAGATGGGCTACTTTGTCATGAAGACTATTTTGAGCTGAAAAGACTCAGGAAGAAATTTTGACCTTCCCCCTAACTGCTTACAAGAATTGAGAAGGATGGGGTGCCTGGGTGGCTCAGTGGGTTAAAGCCTCTGCCTTCGGCTCAGGTCATGGTCCCAGGGTCCTGGGATCGAGCCCTGCATTGGGCTCTCTGCACAGCGGGGAGCCTGCTTCCCCCTCTCTCTCTGCCTGCGTCTCTGCCTACTTGTGATTTCTGTCTGTCAAATAAATAAAATCTTTAAAAAAAAAAAAAAAAAGAATCGAGAAGGAGGAACTGGGAGCCGCCACACATAACTACATTAAGCTATGAACTAGGGATGGCGGGATGGAGGGCCAGGGGGAACTTAGCAAGGCCTGCTGGACCAGAGTCTTCTTGTCCCATAGTTTCCTGATGGCCCAGCAAACATCTGTTCACCTCTGACTCCTTCCCATCTCCCTGAGACCTGCTGTCTTCCCTTTGGCATCCCAGACCCCTACCCACTCCCTTCTCCTGAGTTCAGGGTGACATAGACACCTCCCTTCACTTGTCTTTGCAATCTCTCATCGTAAAGAAATTAAATCTGATTTTTCTCCTGTCAATCTGTCTCATGTCAATTTAATTCTCAGACCAGCCAGAAGCATTTTGAAGGGTAGAGAAAAATTCTTCCTCCCCCACAACCTGACGGCTGAAGAACCAAACCAGCAAGGATATCATCGCACACAACGCCCAGGCCACTCTCCTTTGATGATAAACTGTGAGCATTTTGGCCTCTACCTGCCTCTTTGTGGTGAGATCCCTGATTAGCCTGATCCAATCAGAACCTGGCATTTCCCCTGGCCCCAGTGATTGGCAGGACGTGCAGCGACCTCCAGGGCTGGTGACTGGGGTTTCAGACAAACTGACTCCCTCCCCTGGTCAGACAAACAGATCCCAGGCACCAGAGCTGGTGAGCCCGTCTGCCTTCCTGAACACAGCCAGCCTGAGGACAAAGCAGGGGACCAGAGAAAGAGGCAGAGACAGAGGAACTCAGGACAGAGAGCAAGCCCCACGGAAACCCAAGCCCCTGGCTCTGGAGCCGAGTGTCCAGGCAGTGCGTTCCTCCAGCGGATGAAGCAGGGGCTGCGGTTCTGGTCCTCTCCAATTAAACAGCCTCGACGCCGATGAAGAATCAGTAAGAATTGTTGTAAAAAATGAGCTTCCCAAGAGGAAAACAAGAGGCGGTTCAAAGAAAAAGACCCTTGAAAACATCCTTGGCTCTCCACAGATCAAGGAAGCGAGCAAGGAATCCACGAGATGCCATGTGCCCCCACCCACTTGGCATGAACCAGCAAGACGTGTAGTGCCCAGTGCTACAGAGGATGCGGGTGGACGAGAAACCTCGAAACCCATAGGCCAGAGGGGCCAGAAGCCTCATGCTTATAAACACAGAAGGCTGTCCTCCAGATAGACTGGTTCCGGGGGCAAGATCCACCTCGCCATGTCCCTTCTGACAAACGGTGGAACAAGGCAAGGGGGGAACAAGGGCAGAAGAAAAATAAATTTCTTTACAGAAGAAAATTAAATTTCCTTACGACCTACAGCCCAGTGACAGGTCCTTGAAACAGGCAGAGTGACCTTCCTCTAGGGACGCAGCTGCCTCCATGTTGACGCTCTGCTAAGGGCCAAAGGCAGTCCTAGCCCGGCCTCCAGGATCCTGTCATTCGACTTTAACATATAAATATTTCTTTGGCGGCACCTGAATAGCTCAGTCGGTTTTAAGCATCCAACTCTTGATTTGGGCTCAGGTCATGACGTCAGGCTCCATGCTCCATGCTGGGTGTGGAGCCGGTGTAAGTCTCTTTCCTTCTCCCTCTGCCCCTCCCCTCTCTCCCTCTCTAAAATACATACATGCATACGTGAAATCTTTAAAAATTTATAAAAATAAATAAAAAAATAAATGAAAATTCCTTTGGAAGCTCCCTTTATCTCTATCCCCAGGCATATGACCCACTGATACACATCTGAAGGTTCTCACGACTCAGGTTTTATCAGGCGGTAGTAAACGACCTTTTCCCAACACCAGCTAGCCCCTCAAGGTTCTGCAAATCTTGCTTCCAAAATTCCTCAGAGACTCACGATCTCCTGCTCACCCCCCCAACTAGAGAGCACATCATGGGTCACTGCTCATGACCCCAGCACAGCTCTTTCTGCCCACGGGTCCTGTCCCTGTGCTTTAATAAAACCACCTTTTTGCACCAAAGACGTCTCAAGAATTCTTTCTTGGCTGTCGGCTCCAGACCCACTACCCCACCAAGCCTCACCTGTATTCCCCAACTACATCAGCATGACCCACCAGCTTACAGAAACACATATGCATACACACGTTTCCAGGCAGAGGAAACATCCAGAAGGGGACACACCAAATACTTAATAATGTTGTGTTAACAGGCTTCATGGCTTTTGTGCCCTCCTACAATGGGAAGGTCGTTCATGACTTGAGGAACAAAGGCAAAAGAAATGTACATAAAAATGAATTTCCTTAGGACCTTCAGCCCTATTGACAAACACTCCAGACGGGCAGAATAGAACATTCCTCCAGGAAGGAAGTCCCAGTCTCCCGAGTTAAGGCCTTGCTAGAGGAAATGCAACATTAGGTTGACAATAGCTAGCCAGGCCTCCCAGATCCTGTGAGTCTTTGAGACAGGAAAATCCTTTTGGAAACTTTGCATTGTCCTTACCTCCCCCAACTCTAAAGTATATGATCTCTTGGCAGCTCAGCTCTTCACAGTCGGGGGGGGGGGGGGGGGGGGGGCAGCTCTCTCTCCCCACAGGTCCTGCCCCTCCCTGTGTTATAAGAAAACCACCCTTTTTGTACCAAGAATATTTGAAGACTTCTTTCTGAACCATTTGCTTCCCAACACCACTTCCAATCACCTCCGTTCTCACCAGCACGTGTTAGTTCCAGATGGATTCAGGAAGGGCAAACCTGCCGCAGCATTTAATAGGTGCTCTGCGTGTGAACCCGCCAAGTACCCACCGCCAGCCAACGGGGGACATGCTTTCCTGGTAGACACAAATATGGAAGGACAATTGGGGAGCAGGGCTTGAACCCAGGCGTTGGGCTGCCTCCCACGGTTTCACAGAAGCCACAACAGGCCCTGGGGACAGCTGTCGGGGTCCTGGTCCTTGCCCATAGGATATTTTGGCTGAATTGGAGCAAATTCCTGTCCCCTAGCCCTGAAGCATGTATGCACGCTGGGATGCCTGCAGGTGAGCAGACCTGGGGGTACCCAGAGAGCCAATGGGTCTGAGCTCCCCTTCAGGTCCCCAAATCAGGTCAATGGCTGATTAGCACAGGAATGAGGGGAGAGGGCAGGGACCTCACCGACAACCCCAAATCACTTCTATAAAATGTCACCGAAAATTAACTCAACCCAACGCGGTCAGCCACGCTGACTCCGACACCCAGGCTGCCGAGGAGAGCCCCAGCAGCAGGCCTAGGTCTGCAGCGCACGCACCCCTGGGACGGCCACCAGCTAGCCCAGGGCCCCCCTGCCATCTGGGCCCAGCCCTCGGCTGGAAAACAGGGGCCGCAGCCCTGCAGGTCCTCAAGGCTAAAGCAAGCACGCACGCCTCCCACTCTCACAGAGGTCCCTAAGGTAGTCACATTCCCAGAGACAGAAAGAGGCAGTGGGTGACAGCAGCTGTGGGCGGCATCAGTGTTTACTGCAGACAGACGTTCAGTTTGGGAAGATGGAAGGTTCTGGAGGAGATGGTGGGGATGGCCGCATGACAACGGGAATGGGCCTCAGGCCGCCGAACAGCGACACACCGTGAAAACGGTAAATTTCACGTTATAAATGTTTTACCATGATTGAAATCATAAAACCCACGGCACTGAGCAGTACGACCCTCCAGGTGTGCCTGCCCCACCCGGCCGGAGTCCGTTCAGTGAGCACAAACCCACGGCCTGTGCCGGTGGCCGTGGAGTCGAGGTGCCCACACCAGCCCTACAGGCACAAACAGGCAGGATGGCTCTGTCCCCAGCCAGGGACCCTCCAGTGCTGCCCCAAACCTCCCCCGGCCTGGGGCCACCCCCACCTGTACTTGTCCTGCCTCTGAGCTGCCCCAGGGGCCCCCAGCCCTATCCTGGATGTGAATAGGGTCTCAGGTTCTCCTCTTTTTCCCCTTATAAAAACATCAAGGAAACTGGGACATAGCAGAAAATGAAAAAGTAAGGACGTTGGCCAGAACTTCATCTCCTGATAATAGGCTTCTAGCACTCAAGGAAGAGTCCGACTGGGTCCCCTGGGGAACCTGACCTTCCCCCTGGCCCTACCCTCCACCTTCGGACTTGATGAGGGAGCAGGAGGCTGGCTAAGGACAAAGCAAAAGCTGGCACCTTGCACCCCTCCACCCGCTCCCCTCCATAATATGTGTGACATTCCTCAGGCACCCCTGGCTGCCCTAAAAGAAAAACAAATAGTTAACTTGCAGAGATCACAGTCCTGCAGGGCAGGAGCCTCCCTTGGTTTACAAATGTCCTAGAGATTTACAACAAAGCATCTATCTTATCAATAGCCCAATTTCCAGAGGCACATAACTCAGTTCCTCAAGCCCTAATGTCGCCCTCCCCTCCATAAACAAAACTGAAGGAGGTTGAGGTAGAAGGAAAAGTAAATAAAGTTAAATTTCTTCTAAACCCAAATCTCACTAACAGGGAAGCTTGATAGCAGGAATGTGACATCCCACCAGGAGACTCCCAATTGTCTTCATGCTAGTGCCTCACTAGAGGGAAAAACAGTCTTGGCTTGACAATAACCAAGCCTTCAATATCCTGACAGTCTCTTTATCCGGATAGCCTTCCGAACACCCCCTTGTCCTCACCTACCCGACTCCTGTGTATATAATCAGCCCCTCCTCGGGATAGCGGGGCAGCATCTCTGTCTGCCCACGGGTCCTGTCCCCGTGCTTTAATAAACCACCTTTTTGTACCAGAGACGTCTTAAGAATTCTTTCTTAGCTGTCGGCTCTGGACCTCACCCCACCGAACCTCACCTAGGTTCTAGAACCTCATCAGACTGGCCCAACATGACTGGGCAAAGTTGTCCCCTCTCTGCCCAGGATGGGCTGGGACTCTCCACACACCCCCTTTCCGCACCTTTATGTGGTCGGTGCCCCGGCCCCAGCCTCCGCGACCCAGGTGTCCAGCCACAGGAGGTGCGAGGCAGAAAGAAATGGTAGAGGGAATGGGATTTCCCCGTAACTGCGGCAACCCGACAGACAAACAATGAGGCCAGGATGGAGCTCCTCCAGGAGCTCTCAAGGGTCGTCCTGTTACTGTCCTGCCAGAGCCCAAAACTATCTTAGCTCAACAAGGGCCAGGCCTCCGGGTTCCTCTAAGTCTTTAACATAAGAAAATCCTTTGGGAAACTTCCTCTGTCTCTACACATCTGTCCTCCGCTTAAAAGAACATCACCCGTTGCTCCCCAGGCCCCTGTGCAGCTCTCCCTGCACTTCACGCACCGGCTCTGTCCCCAGGCTTTAATAAAACCACTTGTTTTGCCCAGAAAACGCCTGAAGAATTCTTTCTCGGCCGCGCACTCCCGAAACGGGCTTCAGATCCCAGCACCTGGGAACAGCAGCGGCACCGGCCTCTCTGGGCCCCCAGCTCCTGGCCCCGCCCACTGCCCCAGAGCGCCTGGCCTGGAGGTGCCCCGGAGCCCAGAGCCCTGGGGCCGCAGCCAGGCAGTTCCGGGAGGGACTGACAGGAAGAAGATTCCCCCCCCCACCGCCCCAGCTTGGTTTCAGTTTCCCTTCCTATAAGCAGAGGCTTGGCTGAGAATGAGGGAGGGGCGGGGGAGCGGAGGGGGGCTAAAGCACCGTGCAGGGCAGGGGCTGGGGGAGATCGCCATCGCTCCTGAGAACCCTGGCCCTTGGGGATCCCTTGGAGTCCCATCCCGTGCGCCCCGCTCCCACCAGCAGCAGGGGAGGCCCCGACGTGAGAAGCCAGCACTCCCGGCGCTCTCCCGGCCTTCGTCCCGTGGTCTGGCAGCATACGGGAATCTCGGAGGTGGGGGGGGGGACCTGACCCTCCCTCCCTCCCCGCAGGGGTCGGCGGGGCCCTGGACGGTGACCGCTGGCCTGCTGCCAGCACAGGAAGACTTCATGGCATCCTGTCAAAGCACCACATGCCCAGGCTGGCAGGCTGACCTTCCCTTCCCAGTTCTGTCATGACACCTGGGCCACCCTCAGCAGTGCTCTGAGATCCCCCCCCACACACAAAACCAAAGGAGGGCAGAGGTACTGCGCCCCCTGGAGACCCCTGGAGAGGAGCGAGTGCTTTCCCAAAGAGCTGGGTCTCCAGGAGGCATGAGGCACTGGACCCAGACTCCAGAGAAGGCCCTCAGGGTCCTCTACCTGCCTGTCTGCGGTCCCCCTGCTTTACCTGGTCATGGTCATTCATGTCCACCCTGGAGACCCACACTCAACCCCTGCCTCACCCCTGACCCCTGACCCCCATACAGGCCAGGGCCAGCAGGGGTGGAGCTGCTTATCACGGCCCAGGTGGTGGCACTTCAGGGCAGATGGAGGGGGCCGCCAGCACCCCACCCTCCCTCCCTCCCCTCAGAGGCCGCAAGACCACGGCTTCCTCCCAGGATTCGAGCTCTGCAGAGCCGCTGGGTTCAAATCCTGCCTCTGCCAATTGCTAGCTGTGGGACCGTACACAGTTTCCTTAACCTCCCTGTGCCTCACTCCTGGCATCTGTAAAAAGGGAATTTATGATGTCTCCTCTCTCAAGACTTAGCACAACGTCAGGCTCACTGCCATTTCACCAACTGGTCTGATTTGGGTTTTTTTACTCTCTGGGGTCCCAAAGACCCCCTCACAAGGTCTCCCACTCAGGCGGATGTTCTAGTGACCAGGGGTGTGGAGCCCTGGCAGGTGGAAAATTCTGCCTGGACCCACCAAGAGCTCAGCTAGGCCATGGTCCCATATCCAGACAGCCAGGAGCCAATGAGGACAGCGGACACTGAGCCGACTCAAGCTCGACTGCATGAGTCAAGTCCCCTGTGTTCCAAAGGAAAAGACAGACTCTAGGTCTGACTGTAGCCGGAGCTCCTCCCTAAAGGGGCAGCGGCCAAAGAAAGTCAAACAAAACCTGACAGCAAAAGCAGTCACCTCTTCGCACCTAATACAGTCCAGTAAAAATATCTGGGATGTAAGCATTTTGTACACACGCAGCAGAGACGAGAGTAACGAACCAGGGCTTCCCCTTCACACACAGGGTACCCTCGCAGATCACCCAGGGGTCAGCGAGCAAGAAGGGCTGGTACTGGCAGCATGTACTGACTCTAGCGCAAACACACGCACACAAACTATATTTAGAAAACACACATGATCTTCTAGAAGACTTTCTTTGCTGGGTCCGGAAATTATGAGTCAAGCACCTACTATGTGCCAGGTGCCGTGCCAGGGACTTGGAGTAAAGCAGCTAACAAGAGAGCAAAGGTCTTGTCTGAAGCCGTGCGCTGCTGTGGGCCGAATGGTAGAACGGCAAACAGCCTGAGCAAGTGGGAGTGGGAGTGGGGGGCCGGGCAGGTGCTGTTCTCAATGGGGTGGTCAGAGTGGGCCTCCAGGTGCGAGGGCCGAGGAGCAAAGACAGAAAGGAGGTGAGGGGGTAATGGTGCTGCCCTCAGAGGAAAGGTATATTCCAAGCTGAGGGAACGGGCAGTGCAAAGGTCCTGGGTCCAAGAACACCTAGGAAAGGAAGGAAGGCAGCCTGAGGTCCTGGACACCCAGAGTTAAGGACCGACCTGAGCTGGCAGGTGACATGCTTCCCTTTCAGACACTGACCTGCCCTCCATCACCAGAGAGGGTCCTGTCAAGGCTGTGGGGACCCCGCACCCCATCACACCACCTGGGATACCACTTCCACACAGCATCCTCTGCAATCCGGAAACGCCTCAGCTCAGCCCGACACTGCCCGGTCCCAGGGAGGAGGAGAACCATTAGGTGCTCTCCAGGAAATGAAATTGAAAGTTTTTAAAAAGCAACAAGAGCTCCCGGTAAAGAACCAGACGAAACTGTTCTTGTAACAAAAGTGCTTCTAGTAAGAGTCCCGCAGCCACAGAAGACCTCCAGCTACTCGCCGCAGCTGCCCGCTGGCCACAGTTTCCATTTCGGCGAGGGGAAGCGGGGCTGGGCTGCCCACCCCACCCCGCCCCCATTCGGCCCTTACCTGGTACGGGGGCTGCAGGAAGAAGCTTCTGTCCACACTCGCTGCAGAACTTGGGGGCTTCGTCTTTGGAGACATAGCCACATGAGACACACTCCATTCCTCCGGGGATGGGTCTGCTCCAGGCAGGCACGCTCCTGCAGGTCTGGAAGAAAAAGGGTCCCCAGGCAGCTGACTATATACTGAGCCGCCTGTCACGTGACCTGCCTGCTTCAGTTTCATTTTCTGGGAAAGGAAAATTACAGTGCCCAGAAGCTCCCCCGCTGAATTGAAAACCTAATGCTAGCACTTCCTCACCTGCGGCACTCACAGCCCTGAGCCCCCATCGGGTTCCCGCCCCTCCTGACGCCGGCATCTCCGCCCCTCCCCCACCTCCTCCCCGACCAGGGGCTCCCGCAGGTTTTCTTCCTGACCCCACTTGCCCCCGCCAGGGTCACCCCTCCCAGGGTCTCCATCCCTCAGTGAGTCTAAAACTGTTCCCGCTGGCTGGGCCTGGGGGCTGGGACAACTGAGAACTAGGTGTTGGGGGAGGGGGCACTGTTCCAGCAGAAACACAGCCCTTGCAGAACCCTGAGATCAGACACCGTGTGAGAGGGCCCGCTGGGTGCTGAACGAGGGGCAGACAGACAGAAGCACCTGTGCACAGGTGCCATGGGGACTGGGTGGGGCAGAGAGCACTTCAGAGAGGCCAGAGCGCCCGGAGGGGCGGGCCTGCGCGCTGGGGCAGCTCAGGGCGAACAGGGCTAGTGGTCAGGCTAGCAGGCTGCCCGCCCTGCCTCCCCCAGACTTGGCTCGCGGTCCACTAGCTAGTGAGCTCTTGGGGGCAGGGAGAGCTAGACCGTGTGGGCCAGGTTCCCCGGCTCAACCTCGGCCGCCACCCCGCCCCTCATCCCTGCATGGCCAGGGACGAGACTACCGTCCCGGTCGGCCTCTCCACGATTTTCAGTGCCGAAGGGGCCTCCACCCCTCCGCTGCCCTCCGCTGCCCTCCGCAAGGCTCTGCTTCCCCGCGCACCAGAAAAGCCACCACAGGGCTCAGAAGTCCCTGAAGGGCCCTTCTGTTTCCCGCCCCCACCAGGGGCCTGAACCCGGGCAATGATCTAGCCACTCAGCCTCCGACGTCCCCAGCTTCAGGAGTGCGCCGGACTCAACGCCCATGCCCCAGCCGCCACCCCACCGCGCCCGCCGGTGGGCCCGGGGTCACGTGGGGGCCGGGCGCCGGGGGTGGGGGGCGTCGAGGGCGGCCAGCTCCCCATCTCAGCACTCGTTCCTTCTCCGGCCTCCCCGCCGCCACCTCGGGGCCCTTAAGGCCGTCGCGGCAGCGGTGCCCACCGTGGCCTGGAGACCCCGGCGGCGGGCAGCGCTGGGAACGCTAAGGACGAGCTCGGGCGGCCACGGGGCGGAGATGCTGCGCTCCGGGGAGCTACTAGGGACGCAGGCAGAGGCGCCCCCGGCAACCCCAGGCAGCGAAGGGCTCCGCGCCAGCCCCGGGGCTCCTCCGCGCACACCGCGCGCCCACCGGCTGCCCGGGGCTGGGGTCCGCACGGAGCGGGGAGGGGCGGCGCGGGGCGGGGCCCGAGCGAAACCGAAACCAGGCGCCGCGGGAAAAAACCGCTGGGAGGGGACGGCCCGCAGCACGCAGGCGCCGCGACCCAGACCCAAGGACCCCGAGGCCCGCCCGCGCCCCCGCGCACCCCCCTCACCCGCCCGCGCACCCGCGCACCCGCGCCGCCCCAGCGTGCAAGCCTCCGCGGAGGCCCAGTTTCGTTTCTCTGGTCCGGGTCCCGCCCCTGCGGGCAGGGAGAGTTCGGGCGGGTGCGGCCACAATGCCCTCTCATGGCGCCCCCCGGTGGACAAGGGGGAGGCGCTGCCTGTCGCTGCCCTCGGGGCAGGGTGCAGGGGAGCACAGATTCTGGACCCGCAGGGGTCTGCCCCCGGGTGCCCCCCAGCAGCCTCCACCACCCCACCCCACCCCCGCCCCACCCGGAGCCCAGCACCCTGGACAGTGCCCACCTCCCTGGAGAACCAGCAGCCGGCCAGCGAGGGGCACAGAGGACGCCAGGCCAGACACTCCGGTGCAAAGTATAGGTCACCAGCCCCATCGCATCAGGGCCTTGCACAGATTTAGTGACCTCAGTGGCCGATGGTCGTAGAGGGTTTCCAGCCCGCGCCCGGCACTGGGATGGTCACTGATAACCAAGAGGCCGCCGCGGCCTGCGTTGCACCCCTATCCCTCCGTCCGTCAGTGTCCTCATCTGTGAGCTCACCATGGGGCATCCCAGGGCTGTTGGAGAATTGACCAGTAATAATAATACACCCAGCGCTGGTGTGCCAGAACCCAAGCAAAGGACATGATGTGTGTTACTTACTCCCTACGCTCCTCACTGCCCTCTCCCGCAGAACCAGCGACCCTGAGAGCACTTGGGGGCCCCTGGGCTGCTACAGACTCCACCTGGCATGATGACAATAATTTAAAAGGCCAGGGTTCCTTTCCAGCCTGTGTCTCCAACTCTCTCTTCCACACGCTCCAGCCACAACGCCTTTCCTCTGGCCCGGGAACAGCAGACTCACTTCCTGGGGTTCCCCTCCCGCAGTGCCCACACCCTGCAAAGCTGGCCTCTTCATTCCAACCCAGCTCACTGAGCTCAGGAGGTGCTTGCGGGGTGCTCAGCACAGAGCTACGATTGACCTCGTACTGACTCAAGAGCCACAAAGTCCAATTCACGGCCTGCCACCCCCACTGCCTAGTTCATCTGGATCTGGGCAGGATCCAAGCTGTGTCCGCGGCTGTGACCTTTGACCTTGTGCTGACCTCCTGTGGGGCCCAGGAGAGCTTGTTCTGAAAGAAGGGGGCATCAGGCAGGGTGCTGGGCTGGGCAGGCTGGACCGGGCTGTCCCTTCTGGGTCCTAGCAGGAGGGGGGCTTAGTCAGAATCCAGGGAAGGTTCTGGGAATCTGGGGTTCCTCTGGGACTAGCAAGTGAAGGGAGAGCCCAGCCCTTCCCTAAACTGTCCCGTGTCACCTTCAGATTTGGGGAGATGCCAGCAGAGCAAAACCCAGACGCCCTTCCAGGCCAGTGACCGGCTAGCCCTGCTGGCCAGGCGGGGCACCTCCTGCGTGTGCTCTCACAGGCAGGCGTGGCTCGGGGGCTCCAGAACCCGGAGCCCGCCCCCAGTAACGGGGTGTGGAAGGGCTGGCAGAGAGGGCACCCTCTGTCAGCACTCTGCAGCCTGGCGGGGTCAGGAGGTCACATCCCGGACGAGTCAAGCCACTGAGAAAACACCCCGACCCACGTGGTGTAGCCCGTTTGTTGTAAAATGCAACATAGCCTTAGGAATGAGGATGCTTCCAGTGAGAGACGCCCCACCGAGGGAGACACACTTTGGATTTTAAGGCCATATTTTAATGTCCCCAAGGTATCTTCCCTGTCCACTTCTCTGTGTTCTTGACCACTCCTTAGCAGAAAGCAGACAGTAAAAGGATGTGTAACGTCTCACCTCTGAGAGACGGGCTTGCCGTCCTGCCTTGTCTGGCCCTGCACTCCCAGCCTATTTGGTGGTTCAAGATCAACGAAGCTTCAGCTGGAGTGTCAGGTCACGGCCTCTTCCTTCGGCGGCTAGGAGCCTGTCTAGCCAGGCTGCCTTGGAGCAGGGCTGTCACCTGCATTCGCAGGGTGACTGAGGGCCAGCAACCTCCAGAAGAGGAAGCCCGCTTAGAGGCAGGCTCCGACTCCCTACTTTCCGAGAAGTCAGGAAGCGGCATGGGGGGGTGTGGACATCCTGTTCCAACAGGTGCAGAGACAAGCCGCCAGGGGCTCCAAGGAAAGCAGGGGTTCCAGAGGCTTCCACCTCTCGGTGCCGAGAACCAGGCAGTGCGCGGTCCTGTCGCCAGGACACCTGCACCATGAAGATGGTTAGCGGCCCCAGAACCACGTCAGGCCTCACGGAGCACACCAAATACAGACGAAACGAAGAACACACGGAAAAGCCAGGGGTTCCAAGCCCGCTGTGGGGACTCGCAGAGAAGATCCCTCACGCTCCCTAGTCTTGATACACACCATAAACGTACACGTCACAATGGGCACGCAACTTTTGAAAAAATAATACGTATATAGCATGACATAAAATGACATGTACGAGCTAACACCTTTAGGAAATAAGACAGAAAAACAACAAAATACAAGAACAGCAGCAGGCGCAGTTTCCTTCGTGCGGCTGAGCCAGGACCAGAGACTGACGTCAGTGCGGGAGGAGGATGGGGTTGTGGGACGAAGGAAGGAAGAGGTGAGGAAAGGTTTCAGGTGGTGCCAACCTCCCTCAGCTTTGTCCCTACACATGCGGTGATGCCGAGGCTGCAGGCTTGACTCTCTCCCCTCCTCACAGCGTCCGCAAAGAGCCTGACCCCTTCTTGGGAACATCTGCTGGCGGGAAGCCCGCCCGCACGTTCTCCCCGGTGTCCGCGGCAGGCCGCCAGCAGACGAGCCCGCTGGCTCAGCCACCTGGTTTACCTGGCCAAACCCTGCAGAGAGCATCTTCAAGACCCCGATGGTGGAGCGTCTGAAATGTCCTTGATCTCGACCTTGCAGCCGCCCGCGTTTGCAGAATGGATTCAGTGGGACCCCACACCTATCTGGTTGGCCGGCCTTGCTCCTCACCTGTGGGTACTAAAGGTCCTGGGGTCACCTGCAGGAAGGACGGTCTCCTGCTTGGCGTAGGCAGGAGGGAGGCACACTTTGCAGGGAGCGTAAGTGCAGGCAGGGTCAGGGGGGGTGGAGAACAAGGGGGTCTTATGAGGAGAATCTAGGCCCAGGGGCGTGTGGTTCTGTGGCCCTGGCCTGGGTTGGCCTCCAGCCACCTCAAAGCCGGGCTTGTGCGACCAGGCAGGCCTGAACAGAGCGCTCTCGTTCATCTCAGAGCCGTGTAACTAAAAGCCGTGCAAAACAAGAGGGGCCTGCAGCTCTAGGCCTTGGTCGCATCTAGCCACCAGCCTGCTTTCGGGTCTTCTCTCCGGCTCTGGTTTTTCCCACGGAAGACCACACGTCTGTTTGAGCAAGGCTTGGTGATCACGTGGCTCCTGAAATAGGCTTTGGGATACAGATGGGTCGGGGCTGCGTTTGGCTGGTGGGAGTCCGTGTTCTGGGCCTGGAT